GTGATGTGGTCAGCACCAAGCTCTGCCCGGCCTATTACCCCAGGAAGGATTTCCTAAAAGCTGTTCTTACAATCCTCTTAATTAGCCCAGAGGCGTGTCTAATTCCAGACAGAGCCTATCCTGACACCTCCTTTCCCTCATGTGGGATTCACTCCCTCTGAGTGCTAATTGGCCAGTCAGACCAACTGTGTCACGAATCATACTCCCGCCTGCACCTCCCAGCATACACACCTGCGCCGCTGTTAGCAATTAGCCCAGCACTCCCCGCTTTCACATATAAACCCCTTCACTCCCTCCACTCCCTCCTCGCTCACTGTTGAGTTAGTCATAGCCTTTCCCTTGTGTGCTTTTCTTAGTTTACTGCTTACTGGACTCCCGACCATGCTCTGCCTCCGACCTCGACTCCATCTCTGCCTCGCGTCTCTTGGATTTGTTTACCTCACTGCCTCGACCTCTGGACTCCCGACCTAGCCTGGCTAGTCCGACCTCAAACTTTGTCTCTCATCCCTTAGAAGTCCGACCTGATTCCTATTGGCACCGCATAGGATCCGAACCTCTACACCACTGGTCCTCATTCATTCCTGTGACAAACTGTCTCATTCCACAGGTTTTTTCCAAGGAACAGGTGGTTTCTTCTCAGAGACACCTCTCATTACCCTTCCACCACATGCCCGCAAAGTGCCCCAGTCTTGTATATTAACCAAAAATGTGATGTACTGTAGCCAATGCAGATATTTTAATTTCAAAACTCCATTTTGAAAATGATTGCTTTTAAAGCTGGGGTGGCACAGTGGTGCTGTAGTTAGCATGGCTGGCTTGCAGCCCTGGGGTTCTGGATTCAATTCCTGGGGTGCTATCTGTATGGAGTTTGTAAGCCCCCCCTATGTTTGGGTGCTCTGGTCTCCTCCCACAGTCTGAAGACATGTTAATTGGCCCTGGTATGACACACTTGTTTTTGTCTGTATGTGCCCTGTTACAGAAAATAATAGAAAAGTGAATTAATGTGTAAAAAAGTTAGTTATTTACTTAGTAAATAAGTTATTTAAGTTATTTCACCCATTGTTTTCTGGATAGGCTCCGGCTCTCCGGCGATCGTGTATTGGACCAAGTGGCTAGAAAAAGGAAGGATGGATTTTAAAAGCTAATTGTCATAGTGCTTACTTTATTGATTGCCCACAGATACCATTGTTTAAAACCAATGAAATGTAGCCACGTTTCTCAGAGTTGTGCATCATCTCTATTTACATTAGTAATTTAATACAGTGATTAGAAAGGCCTCTTTCATTAACCTCTATGGATTTTAGGAAGGGTCTCAGCCTTTATTAACCAGTTAAGGGTTTCCATCCTTAAATATTCCTGCAGTCTGTGTTCAATGCTAAATTCTAATCTCCATTTTGTTTTAGGAAATATGCAGCCATCTAAGAAATTTTCTTTTTTGCATTAGACAGGAACATAGAAATATGCATCTTAAATTGTGTTAGTTTTCCAAACTTCTGCATTTTTGCTTTGGACAGGATTTACATTTGGAAACTGAGAATCAATTTAACACAATGAAAGGAATGTAACAGTTTATTCTCATCATGAGAATGAATGAAGGCAACCTTGTATTGTTTTAAAGTATAGTGTGTGTATTGTTTAGTATTGCCCAATACATCTTTCTCAAGTTCCTTATTTTTGTGCTTATTGCGTTTTTTTCCCACCCTTTCTTGTAAAATGTGGAAATTCCTGTTCAGCTGTGTTTGCCTGGCCTCTGTGAGTTGCAGAGGTCCTCGCTTGCACTTACTCACCCCTACACTTTGCTGTTGACACATACTGAGACAGATCGTCAGATCCCAGCACAGAATTTCTGCCGAGGAGCCATAGTCCTTTTGAAATTCTATCCCTGCTAGTTTAGAATACTTTTGTCAGAGGAAGAGGAGTGTACCGCTGCTGCAAGTATTGAGCTGTGCTCACTAACAAGTCTCTAGCTTTTCTATTGACCAGGTGTGTCAGACTCAATTTCTGCATGGCCCAATGTCTTCTGATTTCTGATCCACCAAACTCTCAGTTATGTTTTTTTTTTATTAATTAGCTGCACAGCTTTAATGCAATTCACCTTGCTCTGAGTTATTTTAACAGTAAATATTTTTTGATTAATTTAATATTTTTCGCAATTAGCTGTGGAAGAAATTAAAAACATCCTTAAGAAAATATCGAGGCCAATTGCTTACTCAGATTGGAACAAAAACTAAAAGCCACAAGGTCTTATGGGGACTGATTGTGACACTCCTAAAAATATTCTTTCCTCAATCGTATTTCCTTATCTGTCATTGGATTGTACATGGTGATACAAAGCTCTTGAGACTCCTGTTGTGATTTAATTTCAGTAGAAGACATACAGTAAATGAAGCTGAAAGAATGAAAATGGTTCCCTTTCTCCCACTTTGATGGAACTTTTTTTCTTCCTTAAAATTAAATATTGATAATGGAATTTATGTGTGGGTTTTAAAACCCAGTGTTACCCAGTGTTAATGAGTAGCTTTCCATCAAAGGTTTTCAAACTGTGTTAACAGTTTAAACATAACTTAGTGTAGTTTTGTATCTATCAGTGAATTGTTATGGGTTCAAAGTCCACCTGAGCCTAGAATTGTAATCTCTTGTGGAAATGTTAGGTTTTATGTAACTGTTAAATACCAGTACAAAGAAAAGTTTATTTAACAATCAGATTAAATGTGGGCTGGATTTTAAATATGCTGCTTGCAAAGGACTACAGTACCTATTTTAAAGATTTAACAGTATACAGTACTAGGCACTGTATTTAATTCTTTCTAAATTACAAGTACTCAAAGTAAAACCATGCAACAAACTGAAGTTAACCTAAGACATTCCAACTGACTTCAGTCATTCATTTGTACAGTATAACACTAGTTCATTCTTGTTAACACCCTGGAGCCAAAACAAAAGGAGTTCACTCAGAATAATTTCTGTATATTTATTTTGTGCAGTGAAGTAGCTCTACAAAAGCATCAAATACCTCTTAGTTGGTGCTCGGTCAGATACTTACAGTACAAGGAGCTTTGAAATATGTTCCATCAACGCATAGCATGTACAGGAATTAGCATTTATTAAGGAGTCTTCACCAAGAATTTAATGTTGCACAACACTCTTATCATGTTAGCTCTTCCAATGATGCATGATGCATCTCAGATACACACAACTGGCTACAGTACGTCTCAATCAATGTTTTGGAGCTGACACTTAAATGTACTGTTAATGCTTCTCATAATTCTAGGCCTCATCAGTCATCGCTAAGCAGCAGTTATTTCCCTTTGTTGCTTGTGTGCATGTTTATGATGTTGTATCTTGTGACGGATATGTGTAGCAGACTGGACATTTGAAGAAGAAACCAATCTCTCAGCAGCTGTTCAAGGTCCACAGTTGGACACAGGGTCCAATCTAACATCTTTCAGGCACTCCTACAAATGCCCTCACCAGCAACAAACAAGTCTACCAGCTGAAACAGTCAGCCCTTCAACAGAGGAAGACTTGAAAACTGTTACTGGTATCCATGAGCCCTGACATTCTCCCCCTCCAAATTCCACCAGCCTCAGAGACCAACAGGCGTTAGTCTCAGATAGTCTCCCCACTTGCTAATTGTACAGTCATACAGTGGTTAGAATTGCTGCCTCACAATCCTGGGGCCCTGGGTTCAATTCCAGACCTAGGGTGCTGTCTGCGTGGGGTTTGTATGTTCTCCCTGTGTTCATGTGGGTTTCCTCCAGGTGCTCCAATTTGCTCCCACAGTCCAAGAACATACTGGGAGGTAAATGGGCTTCTTGGGAAATTGGCCCAGGAGTGATTGTGTGCATGCCTGTGTCTGTGTGTGCCCTATGATTGACTGGAGTCCCATCCATGGTGTACACACCTTGCACCCATACTTCCTGGAGATAGGTTCCCTATGACCCAGAATTTGAAGAAACAGTTATAAAGTGAATGGGTGTTATAGCTGTCCCTGGATTGGACTGGTGTCCCAAGAGTATATGCTACAATATGCTGGAATAATGGATGTTATCGTTTTTTGTACTGTTTAACCTGCTTATTTCTACATTTATCAACATTTTGTGGTATTTTTATATTTTTCTCTTCCAGTAATCATTCTTTAATCTGCGACACACTATTGACAAATATAGGTCTCCAAGCACCCAGTACACACAGCTCACACAGAGGAAAATCCTCTAAACCAAATAGTCAGCCCTTATTGCATAGGATGCATTAATGCTGTCAGGGGAATGATGTCAGTGTATCAGCCTTATTTTACACGATTACACCTGTTAGAGACGCTCTGAAAATCTCCAGCAGTTTATCTGGCCTGTTAAAAAAAGTTACGAATTTCCCATTTAAGGACACATTAGGATGTCTTGACTGTATAAACTCATGGGTTTCCTTTTTTCAATGGGTAATCCCATTTAGTGGAGATCTGGACCCAGATTACCCGAAGCAATCTGTTGGTTTGGTGCAAATGTGTGTCTCACATTAATCTCACGAATGTTTCTAATATTGATTTCCCCCAAAGATTATTATTGTTTTCACACATGTGTCAGTTACATTACTCTTGTATTTGACATATTGTACATAAACATACCAGTAAACAAAAAATCAGAAGGCACAGGAGGATATAAAGAGAACAAATAAAATATAGCAATTATCAATAAACATTCTTATTACCAAAAACATTAATTGCTTCATGTATTACCTGATTGTGTGTTATGTGAAATATCTATGAGTATTTACATCCAGTAACATTATCTATAATAGTACTTTATTCTTTCAAAGATGTTTATTGATGGCAAAAGCAATGAAGCTTGGCCATATTTTTAAGTCCACACAGGCAGAAATTCATATTCAGAGTATTCAGAAGCCCTGATTTATTTACACTTTTTTACACATTGGTCAAGAGAGAACACAATCATCTTGAGATATGTTCATCTTGTGCACTATTTGCATCTACAGCTACTCAAACAGTCCACTTCTGCAGTAATCACAGATTTAAAAATCAGTTTCCTCCCTTCAGTCAATGCTACATAACATGAGGTTATCAAAGTAATTAAAATAAGTTATCCTTTATGCTTAATTTTTTAACTTTGTAAAAAGATTAAATTACAAGGGTGTATAAATAAATTAAAGCAGAGATATATATTACTTGGAGAAATACATTTGCACAATCAATGTATTGACTTCAGAACTGCTGATTTGTCATAACAGTTTCCAGTTGCTACGTATTTGTGTATTTATTGTCTTTTGACTAGTAATGTAGTGTTGCATTACAACCTGAGTATTTCCAAAGCCCAACACATTTACATTCAAATAGCATTTGGAAAATCAATAATGAAATACCAATATAAAAGGGTAGGAACCACACACAGGAGGCTTCTTAAGTTTTAAGGTGGGTACCAAAGTTCCTATCCTTCATTTCAAAATGACATTGAATGTCATTTTTAACCATCACAGTCAATAGCAGTAAATGAACTTATTTAATGCTAAACACAAAGGGAAGACATGGAGATCATAGCTCAAGGTAGCCTTACACAACTAGTGACACTAAAAGTATTTACAAGAAAAAACATCAAATCTTTCTGCAATTAAGTGAGGTTAGGTTATGGTTTTCAGTTTCCAAGCTACATAAGTGTAACACAAATACAACATTTCTGTTGGGATTTTTTAAGCACACAGAAGAGTACACTTAACATTTGTCACAGAATGAATCATTAATCCCAATCCCCTATAAACACATCTTAATACATTAAATACGTCAAGTGTTCTTGTTTTGGTCCAAAAACAAAAGCCTTTTTCTTACACTGTGATCTATATTTTAAATAATCATTAAAATACACATTCAGATTTGCTTATTGATTCTGTTTCCTGTTACGCTGTGCTGATTACAAGGTGGCATTGAGGGGTGTTGCTGTGCTGTTGAGCAGACCTGGAAGAACAGTGGTCACATTGGTGGAGCGTGCCCAAGATGGGTATGTGTGCAGATCAAAGACATATAGTCCCCACGTGTTCATAGCAAGAGACAGAGAAAGAACCCCCAAGATGTTCATCACAACCCCAGTTTTCACCTGCAAGACAAGGGACAGCGTTATTGAATGTCAGCTACTGTACACCTGTCTTTTTTACCCATCAAGATTTAGATTTTTTGCTGGCTTTGGATAAATGAGCCACCAGCCACGGGGGCATGTTGCCAGTTGTATTCTATTCTCTACAGTATCTTCCCACTTTGGAAACACCAGTTGTTGATCAGCTAATTTTTGCTACCACAGCCTCTTTACCAGCTTGCAAGGGGCGAGGACCATGCTTTCTCTCTTCCAAAATGCTCCTTGTGTCACGCCCTCTGTAGCCAGAGGGTGCTCCTTCTCTGTCCTGTCCCTAGTTTCCTGTGCTTTGCTCTCCTTCCAGTGTCTCTCTATCTGGGGCTATATATTTCCGGGTCACTTATTCTGCTTTGCTCAGCATTGACGTTCGGATGCTTAGCACCAGGTCGCTGGTCTGTCCGTGGCCTGAGGGCATAGGTTTCTCCACTCCAGAACTCTTTGCACTGCTGAGCCCGGGATAACTCCCCATTCCGCATTCACAAGGGTCTTTTTCGCTCTCCTGCCTCTGCACAGTTTGTCCCTTCCAACATCCGTGACACCCTGTGCTTGCTTACTAGAGCACACACAAAGACCTTCCATGTGGTTTTCCAGAAAGTTTCCAGCAAATGGAGTTTGTAACAGATGTTTAGGAGGAAGGACAGATTCTAATCTCTTCTATTGCATAAATACATTAATCTCGCCTCTGAGTCATCCTTCACTCATCTCTCTCACCTCTCCACCACCCAATCTACTGTATACCCCTGAAGCAGCTCCCTGGCTCATTCCTCACAAAAGTGAAGGAGGATTTGGTCTACCTCACCTTTAAAGTCAGGCTGCTATGAGAGACAATGTTTGATATATTTTGCCTCCACTGTATATCACACTTATTAGGATCTGACTGAACTACAGAAACCAAATAATTATCTGGTAACTGCACAGAAGAATCGTAGCCTTCAACAGAAAAACAATATCAAAAGCTCACGTTTTGCGATGCAAAGAAATTTGTCTTGGCCTTACAGCCATGTCTAAAATTAAGAGATGTAAAAATACTAATCAGGGTTGTGTTAAAAGTCTCTCTGAAGAGCTTGTGAGTAGGATTTAAAAAAAGCAACTCAAAGCATTAGGTCACTAATACAGTCTTTTCCGCAGGAGAGATGCATATCAGAACATGGATGGAAACTCACCATGTCTTTGACCTGGAGATGGCCAGATGCAAACGCAATGGAATTTGGTGGTGTTGAGACAGGCAGCATGAATGCATAGGAACAGCCTATAGTCGCTGGTATCATAAGATACAGGGGGTTCACTTGCAGACGCATTGCCTGTGGTGAAGAAAAACTGGTGTCAAACAGGTATTTGCCTGTTTTAGAATATACTGCTGGTTTAGTCAAAAATAAAATGAGAAGATGTTTCAGCACCGACCCAGTTCCAAGACATCAACAGCAAGTAAGCAATAATTTAAAAAAACATATATAGTTTCAGCATGTGGTCCTTGACACTGTGTGGGCAACCATTTGATAATGTTCTTTCATTGCTGTGCTTTAGCTCAGGTCTGACGCAAGTTTCCAAACTCCATCCTCCGGCTCACAGTAAAGTAATTAAAGCTCAGTTACTGATTACTTTGACTAAGGACAGCCTGCTGTACTTTTGTAACTGTGTGACTAAAGCAAGCAAATTAAAAGAATTCAAAACATGCAACCTTACTGAATGAAACTGAAGACAGCACTGGGCAAAACTTAAAAAGACGCACTTCTTTTGAAAGAGAAAAGTGTCAGAAAAGGAGAAGTGGAAGCTGAGGTTTTCTTGAAATCTAGTGCATATCCTTCATACAATTACCACAACATCCCCTCAAAATTGTAAATATCTGAACAAAAGGGATTTAGGTATTTTTATGGACTCTTCAATGTGCTCATTCAAACAATGTGTGAAAGCAATAAAAAAAGACCAACATACAGCAGTTGTGAGATGTGTTGATTTGTCAAGGGAAATAAATTTAAAGTCAAGGGAAGTTGTAATTCTACAACATGCTGACAAGACTTAATTTATAATACAGTGTACAGTTTTGGTTGCCACATTACGAAAAAGACATTGCAGCTCTATAATTAGTTCAAATGTAGTTCAAAGGAGGACAATAAAGTTTAATTCCTGGCCTTAAAGGACTGTCTTCAAACTGTCTTCAACAGACAGGTTAAACTAACTAAAGTTCTTTTCAAGTGAGGACATACAGGGGTCAATCAGAAAAAAAAAATATAAAATAGTGAAAAATATTGATAAAATCAACAAGGAGGACTACTTCAACACTAACAGGGAATGGTAAATACAAGGGGAGGAGACAGCGCTCATTTAACACGCCTGTGACAGCTGATCCTGTTTGGCCAGGTACGCCTCTCTGTAACCAATACTTGCATACCTGACACAGGAGCACCCAGGTTTGCTGTTTTCTTATTCTCTTATTCTCACTCTCTGAGACTACCAGTCTGTCAGGAGTCCTCAAGACTCGTACAGGGCCGGGCTTTTGAGCCACATTGGTGTCCTTCTTCACAGAGCAAGCTTTCATTGCATTATAAGGGGGTTAACTCACCAGCTCAGCTAGAACAGGCAGGAAAATGATAGTAGTGGCTGTGTTGCTCGCAAATTCTGTGAAGGACGCGACGACCACTGTAATGAGGAGAACAGCCACACCAGGAGGCACGCTCTCCAGGGGCTGCAGATGGCTGCCGATCCACATGGACAAACCCGACTCCTGAGCCAAAGAAAGAGCAGGGGAAGAAATAGTCAGATGATACAGAGCAATGCCGAGACAAAACACCAGGCACAAAATGCAGGCAGCCCAACAGTATCAGCCAGTGTGTCAGTGAAAGGTGATACTTATATGAGACATGAAGGAAATAATCTGGGGGCATGGAAGTAAGGGGGACAAACGGACAGTTCCACTGTTTGTTTCTGAAAACTAAATATATTAATAAACCACCTGTGTTCAATTTGTACACAGCTTTAAAATCTGCAGATGAAAATAAAGGCTTTTAATGAGTGCAGGACATTAGAAATTGACATGAATATTTACCACTGGGACCTTTGCTTCTACCATTTTTATACTATGTCTTTAGTTCACTTGGTCCTTTTTTTTCTCTATTTAGAATATTGCTGGTTCTGCTTCTCTGTGATGTACCATGATTTCACTGTGCTGTAATGTCCTTTTGATTTTGCTTTTACCATTGTAAAAACGTGAGAGAATTTTCCCTCAGGCTGGAAAGCCAGTTGATAAATCAGCCATCCAGAGGCTAATTCGATAAAGAGAATAATCTCTATGACAACTTTTCCTGCTCTGTTGGTGTCTGTAAAATAACACTAGATTTTGCTAATGAAATATTATTATATATGTTTCTTATTATTGTTTATAAATGCCTCACTTGAAACCTTACAAGTGCTTCAACCAGGAGATAGCCCAGTCAGGTGTGCAGTTTGAACCCTATAGTCTACAGTAGATATCACCAGTTTGAAGTTGGACTATTAATTAGCCATCTGTGATCCACACTGCACACCGGCTGAGCACCCAGAGCAGAGCAGGCTGGACCTGGCCTGATAACTCTGGTTCGCTGTACGTCAGCAACCCCTGTGACACTCCGGGCACCTGTCAGGTTGCAGTACTAAAGTGATAACTGCATCAGTCCTGCTAACGATGCTAACTCTGCTGTGGGCACTGTAGGGCTTCCTATGAGCATAGGATTTGTGAAGCTCTGAGAGCTTCAGGGTGAAGTGTGCTTTATCCTTATTCCTCCTATGTTTGTTCAACTGGTGGAGCAAGGACCCAGATATTAACAATCCAAGTTTTAGGGAAACAATTCCCTGTAAATTAATTTGTGGCATTCCTTTCTAATGACTTAAAATCATCAAGAAGCATTTCTACTGTAAATACCCAAAAGCACAATACCTCACATCCCTTAGCCATTGCAAAACCTCCTCCGAGCAGCAGGATAATATTCCAAGGAACAGTTTCTTGAGCCTTTTTCCATGACACCAGAGGCATATTTTGAGTGTTCTGTGCTATGATAAAAATGATTTAAAAATATTTTAGAAAGTCCTTTTCAATTCCATTTCAGTTCAGGAACTGTAGAAATATTCACAAACAAAAAGACAGAAGGACATGATCTCTATTTAAGTTGAACTAGGAGAAACAAAAAAGTTAAAAACAGAGACATTAACCTAGAGGGCCATCACTGTGATCAGACATGTAATCTAATAACTCTCGTCTCAAAACGTGTTTTTTTACAACAATATCATTATTGGTTTGTCTATAAAATGAGAAAATATGAACTTTGTACAAACAACAACAAAAAAAAGAAAACAACAATAAAAAGGAAGAATGTGCTAAAACATCCAGACAGTTTGCATATTTACAAATAGCTCAGTGATTCAAAACACAAGTCACATACAGTAAGTGTTTGTTTTTTAACATAAATACAAGTTGTATACAAGGCTTAAATGTATTACCTTTCATAGAGTAGTTCCCCTAATTTAAGCCTTTACTCCCCTTTTCACTAGATGTTACCCCTATGATTCTATAGAAAATTTAGAAATTAATCCCATATCTCTCTAAAGTCCCCCATTTTTGATTTTAGGAGATGAGTAATCTTTTCAGATGCAAGGCATGAAGTCGTCCCCTTCAACCACTGTGACAAAAAAGGACTTTCTTCCTGTCTCCAAACACGGGCCATCACCTGTTTTGCTTCTAAAAGGCAATCTTAACATTGCCTCAAGTGGGCATAACAGAACAAAAAAAGTTAAATGTAAGCGATTGCTGTAATGTAAAGGAAAAAAATGAACAAATATGCAAACAAAATCTGTACAGGACAAAGGGGATGTTTGATTTTCAAGAAAGAGCAGCAATAACAGGAACAAAAATAAAGATGCTCCTGACTTAATGGTTTACAGAGATTTAGCTTCTATAACCTCTGTGTCTAAAATGTAACAGGAGGACATTATCACCAGCAATTATCCCTCCTGGGTCCTTCACACACTGGGAGCGGACAGTGGTTTACAAAGTTCAGGGGAGTCCTGCTGGGTAGCATGCCTTTTAATTTGTAACTGGAGAAAAGCAGCAACAGGGGGACTGGAAAACTTTCATCCTTGAGCTTAGGCAATCAGTTCACTGTCACAATTAGTTTAATCAAGTAATTAAGACGGGAAGTCAACCTTTTCTGTTCTTTCTTTTCGGTTCCTAATACTTAAAGGAGTTCTCCTCCAAGAGCTGTAGATACCCACACCTGATTAAAGAGTTGGGGTCAATCAGAACCCCAAACCTGTCGACAGCAAAATGCTGGACAGTTTCTTTTCCAGGTTGTGACCCCACTGCCTGAAATTTGTTTTGCCCGGCCATTAGGTCAAACAGAACTTGCAGCACTAGACAGCCAAGGTGGAGCATAAGCTTTTTGCAAAGATTACTGTAATCCCATTAGCAAAGGGTCTTTATCTGAACTCCGCAGGACATTTATTACACTCCTTAAAATTCTTCAAATCATTAAGATTACATCACATTAACAGGCACAGACGGGGATAACAGAGTTTATTATTGCTAAACATGAATTGCTGCTGCGTAGTATTTCTAAGTCTTTACATTACATTATTTGGTAATAAGAAAATAGTAGTAATGTTTTGTTCTGAACTTCACTTTTTGTTGGGATGTTTTTTCACTGCTCTGTGTTTTAGACTAACTTTGGATAACCAAGCCATAGAGGAAGGGATACTAACCTGGTAAATTCTGTAGTGGCAGACTAAATACATTTTCAATCTCTAGATGCTTCACCTGCACTACATCATCCTATGGTCTAATGTTCCATGTATAATGGGTATATATGTCAAAACAATAGTAGCTGACAGATGAGATATTCAGCAGCTCTCTGTATCGAGCTGACTATTAGTCCATGTGAAGCTGACTCACCAGAGAGTCGTACTGTAAATGTGGAAACTTACCTCTAAAATCAAACCACCAGTTCAGAGATGGCTTCTGGGAGGGGAAGAAGAAAAGTATAGACACTATGGAGACTCCAGTAACAGCATCTGAGACGTAGCTGTAACGATACAACCAAGACACTCAGTCTGCCAGGTTTAGGAATTCTGGATGTGATTGTAGTATGTGTCACATTCAAACTCATATACACCAAATCCATTTGTAAAGGATATGCTTGCTTTACGGTAAATCATATAATTACTATACGTTCTGGTTAGTTCCCAGACAAGTAACAAGTCAGTTCCTGTCACTCTTTATTCTCTGAGGCTAGAGTTCTTCCAGGTGGCAGAATAGTTGCTTCATGAAGACTTCTTACCCTTTGTTAAAAAGCTGAGCCCAGCCAGGGAAGAATTTGGGATCTCTTGTGAAAAGAAGGATGGCAAACAAAAAGAAAAAAAATCCAATTGCTCCTTCAGCAAACCTGCAAGCAGATAAATAACAATCATTACGTAAAGTTCAGGAGACCATGGAAGAGTTGTAGTTAGGTCTGTGATAGGATCTGTGATAGCGTTGTTGTAGTAGTTGCTCAACAATTTTGTTCCGAGCAAAGTAATCTTTAAGCAGTGCATTGTAATAGTTTTACTTCCGGAACGTTGCCAAGTCATTGCAGAGTCACACTGAGGATTCAGTATGGTTACTGAGGTTAATAAAACTAGGAGGAACCAGCCGCCCTGACGCACGACAGAAAAAATCCTGTTTGTAGCTGACCACACTTTGACATCGGATTCTAAAACAAATGATCATGAAATCATTAAGAAATGCAACATTAGCCAACTGAGATGACACATCTATTCCAAGCTATGGTGTAGCTACATATTAAAAGCACAACACCAAAGTGTCAAACATTGTTGCAAATGAGGTCCATTGATCACTTTAATTGGATTTCTAACTTGATTAGTCCTTTGAAACCTTTTTTTCTGCTCTCTGCTCGCTTATTAGGGTGCCTTATTACCAGTGATGTGTAGACACAGGCTGGAATGATACGGTATCAAATCTTCCCACCAGAGCCCCTCTGTGTTCTGCACAGGTTCTACTACAGTAGGGTCTCAACATCTGTGAATTTAACATGTGCAAATTTATTCATGATTCGGTTTGGCATTGATGAATTGATGAAAAGCAGAGAGGGATTAAACCAAGACAAAGGTCGTTAAGATCAATTTTCAGATTAACCACACAACAGCCTAGGATCATGAGTAAGTGAGTAGGCCTCTTCTTTTCCCTTGTCCAGGTATTCACTACCCAGCATCCCTATCTTGGCATAAGGTGAAATGTACAACAATAAGGCAATCTAATGCCAGATCAGGCTGACTATCTTGTCTCTTTCACTCATTTTCTAGCAGCTCACAGTGACCTCAAGAACCTTTGATTTCACTCACATACTGCTTTAGTAAGAATGATCAATGTATGAAATGAAAATCACAACTGAATCTATAATTAAAAGCAGCCTCCAGCGATAACAATAACTCCTACATTACACAGACGAGCATATAGGATAATTTGATTGACGATGCTCCATACTTGACAGGTCCCAGTTTTTTGTAGTCTTCTTCAATGACTGCTCTGGCTTTGGTTTCTGCCTCTGCCCTGAAATCTTTCTTCTGCAGGCACAACCTTTAAAGAAAAGAAAGCAATGAGTTGCTGTCGCAGCATGCTCTGGTCTGGCTCTATGACAATCCATTTTGTGAAAAAAGGCTCTCGGGAGTAAAACATGGCCGGTGGATTCTGAAGGCCACCCAGCTGGGCTGGGACTGAAACAAGGGCAGGCATTACAATCGCCACAAATAAAATACTAGGACACCAAATCCCTGAAATAACAGAATTGGTGACAGTGCAGTAAAAGAAAACAGACTCTGCTGTCATGCTGGACAGCAAATTCAGCACAGCAGCATCAAGGATCCACTGAAACATCATAGCAGCAACATTGATCCACCAAAGGAAACCTATCAAGCAATAACATTCTCTCACTCACTAGACAGTTAGAAGTTACATGGACAAGAAACAATGGAAAAGGCCAAATAACATTCTCTGTTTCTGCTCTTTTCTTCCTTTCCAGTAGTGGACCCTGGGTGAGTTCAGGGTTTCACACCTGAGCCACATCAAGAATGAAAGGAAGGAAGTGTCTGAAATCAGCAAAACAAGAGCTCGGAGTGACCCTGTCATCAATGCCTCCCCAAATTCAGTGACTCTGCACGTCCAGAAGAGGCTCACTCTTGTCACTACAAATCTGAAATGTTTCTTAGGTGGAAAATAAATCTCTATTCAATGAGGTGATTCACAGAATGCACCGAGCTATTAAGAAATAACATCTAGACTATTTCATTGTTGATAGTAAAATGCTTACACAAGGAAAGAATACCACGTCTTTTTTTCATTTTCATTCTTGCATTGTTAAGTTTATTTCCCTATAAAATGATATTAATTATTAAATGGGGCACTAGGAAACAATCTGGGAGTAGGTTACTCTTGTACAGTGTAAATGTATTATATTTAGATCTGTGTATTTTGGGAAAGTCTAAATAACTGATACAATGTTGAAGTAGGAACCTTATAAAATTTCATGGTGGTATGCCTCTAAATAGTTTACTGCTTCAGCTTTATGCACCGAGCAAGTTGGATAAGCCTCTGAGAAACTCCCCCAATTTCCATGCTTTATCACCATGGTATACATTCGTCAGAAAAGCCAGCCTGGAACAGACTAACAAAGATCCATCTTGAATGGAGAGCTAAGAAGCAATTTAATAGTAATGTTTCAGGTAATGCAATTCAGGAGGTATTAATTCCATCACATGGAATACCCCTAACCTTTTCTGTTACAAGTACTGTACATTCAGGTTGTACCTGGAATCTATTTTTCTGTTTTTAGAATGGTATTTGACAGAACATTTTTGGTAACATGTAGCTGATGTGCTGTGTAATGTATCTGAAGTCTAGACTCCTCCTATTCATTGACTATTCCCAGATTTCAGACAATCTTCTGGAATAACACTTTTTGACAAACCTCAATGCAACCATGAAACACGTTGTGCAGGGGCGGGTGGAGACTGACATTTTTTTAAATCATGTTTTGTAATGTTCATAGATGCAGGGTTTTATTTTTAAAGGAGTAGTTAGAGCATGTTATTCAAGAGGAACGACAATATCTGTCTGTACAGAAGCTCTTATTCATTTATTCAAGTTTTATCTCAGCAAAGGAAGCCCTTTCTGCCTTTGCTGTCATCTCCTTCTTTTTTGTCATATTTGTATCTGTATTTTTTCTTCTGTTTTTTCTTCTTCGTTTCATTATCCGTCCACCCATTTTCTAGCCAATTCGGGGTCACAGGGGAGCCAAACCCTATCCCAACGAATAGCAGCTGCAAGGTGGGGTATACACCCTGGGCAGAATGCCATGGATTCCCCCTCTGGGCAGGATGTCATGAATACAGCACTTGTAACAGAAAAGGTTAGGGGAAATTCCCATCGTGAAATGCTGATATATCCTGGATTACGTGTGGTGTAATACATACCTCCTCAATTGCATTAACTGAAAAAATCCTATAAGCAGGGCGTACAGACACACACATACTGTATACTCACACAAGGGACATTTTCACAGAAGCCTGACCTACAGTACTATCATGTCTTTGGGCAGTGGGAGCAAAATCCACTGGTGAAACCCACACTAACACAAGGAGAACATAAAAACTCTATGAAGATACTTTAGCTCCCCGGGTCTGGAATTGATCTGTAGCTCCCCGGCTTTATTTCATTACTGTATATGTTTATGAATTTTTTAGTGATGTATTGTAAAAAAACGAGTGTCGCCTTCCTCTCCTACCTTGTGTTGAGTCCCCCGTACAGGAAGGAAATCCATAACCAGCCCAGGAAGAGGAAGAGCAGCATGAGGGGGCACGAGAACACGAACCAGGAGCCAAAGTTGATGATGTCACAGTCTGGGAAGAAACTAAGAGGTGACAGCTTTGGGGTCACTGAAGAATACCAGCACCACATGTCCAGGCCAAACTGTCACCAGATGGGAATTAGATGTTGTCACCGTCTCTCGTAATCAGAGACGAGCTTCTACCAATTCCAGAAGGTGTAGACTTCCTACTGTATCTAATTTTCCCATCTGCCCTCTCAATCACTACCATACCTCACAGCTGCAGACCACTTTAAAACCATTTACCTCAGTGCTTAGTATTTGGTGTCCCTGTCGAGCCTCTCGTCTACGCCTTCGAAGCAACTTCCTCAACCTCTCTCTTGTCATTCCGGTTACTTGGACTTGCTTTCGACCACGATTCTGGTTGTTGTTTCTCGGATAAGTACGCCTGGCTTCCTCTATTCTTGCTTTCTGAACTCACATTGACTACTGCATAGGGTCCTAAACATGACCTTCTCTGGCTTACGCAGCCTTAACAGATATCGTCTGTCTCCAGAATTTTACTCAGGTGTTTTCTATAATGAATAAGGTTCAAACACAGAGACACATACCTGCGCTGTTAGCTATAAATCAATAATGTTCTTGTTGGGTCTCGTTTTACATTTTGGAATCAATGGCTGACTTTTACATCTTCACAAATTTGTGCCTAGCAGTCATCGAAGAATGTGGCTCAACTGCTTCTTCCCTCATTCCAGCACAAGCAGGTACTTTCTTCTGAAATGTGCAGCGTCAGACTTTTTTTCCATTCTCATTACGGTGCGAGCCTCATGGGGCCCACAGCAGAGTAAGCAGATGCCACTCTGAAAACACTGCAAGCTCACAGGTTCCCAGAGAGGAGTAGGGGGTCTACTGTATGTCACACGATATTCTCGACAACACACAACAACAGGAGTACTGAAACACTTATGTGCCACCACTTGCAATGTGTGCTGTTGGCCAAGAATGTGTTTTCCATCATAAGCATAGCAGAATGACTCAACAGTGTTGGGACTGATACAGCAATAATTTGGGAATGTGATTCATGTTGAAACATCACTGGTTCACTGTCTTTTACAGAGCTTAGAGTTTAGGGTGTAGGTTTTCCATGTGAAAAAATTACCAATTTTATTCTGTGTGGATACAAGAAATCACTGCCCAGTTCAGTGTATTTTTCAAACAAATCTATTTTGAAGCCAAGAGGGAAGTCACCATCATTCTTGGTATCCTCAGCTTTTAATTTGCAGTATATTTCAAGTGCTTTTGCACCTCAGACACAGCATGAACAGCATCCTGTGTCACAATAAACATGGAGTAATCAAAAAGGACAAACTTGGTACAAATATATTTACAGGTATACTACTTCCGGGGCACTAATCAGCTCAAGAAAGATTCAGCAGTTGCAGCAGGTGCTTTATCTTTGTGAACAAGCATGAAGTAAGCTCAAATGACTTCCACAATTCCTTTTCTATAAAGTTGACACTTTGCCAGTTATTTAGCCACAGGTATGGGTAGAACGTGGCATGAAACCCAAGTTTCATTCTTGCACATAGAACAAGAAACAACAGGAGATGCCTTGTGCTTAGGAGGTCACTGCGTCAGAAAGTCTAGACTGAAACTGGGGAAGAAAGTGCTTCCGCAGAGCAGAGAAACCAACGTTGCTATCTCCACATCTGGTGAAATTTAAAGTTAGTCTGTTTACCTTTTTAGCTGCCCAACAAGAATGAGGTTTGGTGACGTGCCTGTCAGAGTAGCAGTCCCCCCAATACTGGCAGCATAGGGGATGGAGATGAGAAAGCCTTTCCAGACTTTCTTTTGGTACTCAGATTCTTTTCTGATTTCTGAAGCAGATCGCGTATCACATGCTTCTGACAAATCTGCCCTGCAGAAACAACAGTGGCAGACAAGGTATAAGGAATAAAGCACAGTAATCAAAAAAAGGAAAAAAAAACTTACTTTTTAAAAGGGTTGGCTTTGCAGTTCAGAGTCAAGGTTGGTAAATGATCTGTGTCATATCGTATGCTTCTGTGTACCATGACAGACCGTGGTAGATCATCTATCATACAGAACACCCAGTAAAGACATGAACCTTTACCTACCAGTGTTTACCACTGTAACTTTCATTCTTTTTTAGCATGCTTTTACAAGATTTCTGCTATGTCTTTGCTATGATTTAACTCTGCTCCTCCGCATTTAATTCTACTTTTACCATAATAAACATGTGCAATGCTAGGTTTTCAGCAGCACTTATATCCACTTGCAAAACAGAGATTGGTGCTGCTGAGGAATGAAAAATAAAATCACTCACACATTGCTACACTGATTTGCGTATCATCTCACATTTAGATACCTTACTCGGGAAACATACTGTATTTAGAGCGAAAGCTTTCAGAGTTTTTCTTGGTGGTTCCGGGCTTAAGATCAAAATGTTTTAATGGAATCTGAACAAAAACCCAATCTCAATTAACCAACAATGGGAAAAATGAGAAACAAATTCAGCAGAATATAATCCAAATAATTAGGGCTGAAAACATCTATGACTCCTGTTTGCTCACATTGGAGAATTTGCTTTTCTTACCTTTCCTCTCCTGTCAATATTTGTTTTTCTGATGCCAAAACCTGTAACTTCATTTGTGATGCACCTATGGGCAGATAAAAAATAGTCTGAGAAGGGTCATCAAGGGGCTGTGTTGTTCTAACTCTGTCTAGCTCACTCTCCAGCCACATATGCGAAAAAAGCAAAATATGCATTTATGTATTTCAAAACATTTCTGACATTTGCATCCTTACAATTACAGAAGAGTATTCAAACAATCTCAGGTCTCTAGAGGCCTGCTATGGCCAGTTTTCTCTTCAATGCAATGAATACCCCTCTCATTTGCTTTAGAAAATTCTGCTTAAGTTTAAACTGTTGTTTCAGTTTATAATTAAAAATGTGCTAAATGATTGTTTTGGGGGGACAAACACAAATTCAGAGCAAGTTTCAAAAGTTTTCCACAATAGTATGTTTTTAACGTTTGAGTATATAGGTGACACTGGAAGCACAATGGTGTCCAGTGATCATGTCCTGGTTTATATATTAAATTTCAACATGAGCTCTGAGTTTTGCACTTTAGACTTCCATGTCAATAAGCACAAACCTTTTTTACATTTTACACTTGTCTAAAACAGATTTTGTGAACTTGTGAATACTTTAATCATGGATTAATGCAGAGATGGAAAACTTCTCTGCTGACAAAATAATATTTAACAGGGTCACAATGCTTGTGACTTGGCACTGTTGTGGTCACAACGAACTCTGTAAGGAATGCAGTCTGTGCTAGAAGTGTAACTTTTCAGAACCAGAAAAAGACTTTCAAAGTAGAAAGCCATTCAGATTGTCATTGGAGCTATATGTGCATAATCCACGTTTTCTGAAATTACAGTACCAAAAGTGAAAAAGCTTGTTTTATTTTATTTTTACACACTCTATTGGACAGGTTAATTACTAAAAAAAAGGGAAGATCTGTACTTTATTTTACTACAGTATAAGTAGGGAAAAGAGGCATATTTCTGAAACATTCATCACATATTTTCCTTTATAAATTATAATAAGCTAATTATATGAAGCTACTTAATATACTAAGCTACTTAAATAGCTGTTTGTGTGTGTCTTAATAAAAGATACACACAAACAAAAGGCATGGCTCAAGGAGGTGAAAAGGCCTATGACAGTGGGAGAATAGCAACAGTAAAGTCCCATGAATAATTCATTCAGACAGAAACAGTCATTTCTAAACCTAAATCATGGAGTTAAGATTTCAAATCATGATGTGTATCGTTGATAACACAAGTATATTTTTCTGCTCTGGGGAGAGACTGCTGCTGTGTGTACCCTCAGCTCATAGATTTCTGTAAAGTTAAATATGCCTCAGAGTGATACATGAGAGTGTGGCCAATCCAACATGTTGAGCGTGAGAGAGTGAAAGAGATCACATGCTGGCAGACTTAACGCGCAATGATTAATTTGGGCTGTGCTCAAAGAGTGAAATCAAAACGAATGGAGCACCCATTACAATAAGCTCGTCTTACTCTCTGCGTCGTCCTTTAAGTGGCACTTCTCCTTCAGCTTTTCCAGGTCTCCGAACAGGCTCTGCAGGATGGCGTTGCCGATGGGCAGCATCATGGCAGTGGTGGCAGTGTTACTGAGCCACATGGAGAGGAACGCCGACGTTATCATCATTCCCATGATGAGCCTGGGAGAAAGCCGAGGAAGGCACTGTCATGATCGGCATCCCTCCTCTTTAGGGCGCTACGACCCTTTTGGATTTTAGTTGATGACGTGCCCCTGCCCCCTGCTTTGTCTGTGATTATTTAAGCCCGGCGCTCTCACTATTCCTGGCTCAGCACTGGGAGATGGATGCCCGGAAGCCCAACTACTAACTGGTCCAGGAGAGACCCAATCATGTAGGCGTAGGCTTCATCACGGCGTCCTGACCATCTGAGTCCGGGGATCGGAGCGCCTGGCCTCGTCACCCTGGTTTTTAATCCCTGTTCCAGATCCCGTTCCACATTTAAACCTTGCTTTTTTTGGATGGATCTCCCAGTTCCTGAAATCTGGACTGCACCCCAGATTTCCTCCTTGGACTGGCTTGATCTGTTTGCCCTAACCACGCCCCTGAGCACTGGATCATTGTCGTCACGCCCCCTGACTGTCAACCAGTCCTGATCCTCTACGTCTTTTCCCTGTTGTCCTTCTCCACTTACTTCACATTATACTGTCTGCATAGGGTCCTGAACTACGTTTCACAGGAGCCTGGACCAGCTCCCGTTACAGACACAGAGGAGACAAGACAAAGGAAGAGCAAAAAGGAGTTGCTACTCTCCCAGTACAGCTTGGCACGAGCCGTCTCTTCACACTTGAGCAGAGAACTCCTATCCCCTAAGACAGCAGAGCACTGGCACCTGTAAAACCCGGATTCCAACACCATGTTGTCAAGATACCAGACAGCAGGAATATGATTTAGTAAGCTGAAAGGTACGTGAAACAAAAAATAAACTCATCACCACCTTCCACACTCCCAGAAGACAGTCACTGAATATAAATTCTTGCTTTCAAAAAAGAACTCACCAGATTCATAGGCTGCCCTGGTCCTTAATGCCGATTTCTGCCTGTTTTAGAGGTACCTTTCAATTAGCACCTAATTAAGACTGGGAAAACAGGGGATTTCTCTTCTTATCTGCCTTATGAGTTCACTTAAGTCACTAAGATCTGCAATTAAAGCCCTGATGCAAAATGCAGCACTTAAGGACTGAAGATGCCCACAGCTTGGTGTGCATACATACAGCACACACCCAAAAGGAAGGGAGGCACCAGTATTTCTGTCACTGCTCATCATAGTGGGCTGTATGGAAAACCTATTGGAGCCTATTTTTGGAACCTAAAGGCTCAATTAATGATTTGGAGTGACAGGAGCTCAATCGTCCGCTGCTAATCTTTTAGGAATCACTACTGGGTTCGAAAAGCGAAAAGAGAAGCCCAACTCTGCATGATTCCCCTTTGTGATGACAACAGAGCAATAGGCAAGCATGGGTATTACAGGGGATCGAGCTGTTTTTTCTCCCTTTCTTCCTCTATTATGAGGAAGGCCTGCGTGGCTTTGTTTAGCAACACAGCGGTGACATAACTGGAATTCCAGGACACTGGGTCAGGGAAGTTGTAAAACTTTGGAAAGAAATAATAACAATAAAAGAGTTTCACTGACCCACAAGTTGATGTAGCACCTAAAAGGAATTCTTTCTACACCATCAGATAGATCATCAGGATTTATTTTCAGTCATTCAGTTACCAGAAACACTGATTTACTGTATGAAAAGCATCCAAGGACTGAGCAATCTAATGCCATACACCATAACACATTTGGCCAATGGATTGTTGAGTAGAACATAATTTTCACAAACTAGTTTTGTAAATGCAAATTCGCTGTTTAGATCATGAATGCATATTCACAGTATCAAAAAATATAAGTGTGATTTAGTTATACGAGACTGATAGAACCACCAATCTATTCTGTGACATGTTATACAGTAGTTGATGCATATTTTAACTCTGAAGTTATTAAATCTGATTTTTGTAATCCCTGAGTGAACAATCAGGCATTCGTGTTCCACAGATATATATTCTATTACGTTGTTGCTTGTTATGCATGTTTTAGTTATATCAATAAATTGAATACTGTATATTTTTAATCCATGTGTGAGACTATAAATTATTATGTTTGATTGATTCCTAAAAGTCTTCAAGTACTCTTCCCATTTACTGTTTTCTGATCGTTACAGCAAAGTAAAACCCCCAATCTCCTATGCCACGGATGGTTTCTACACCTCAGTGGCGTAGTGGCAGCCCTCCTTCATATAAAGCTTTGGAATCTTTTAGGAAGGGCAGCTTCCTCAAAACGTAAGAAAGGAATCCTAAAATGAACGACTGATTTCTGGAAGTCCTCTCACCAGGCCGGCTTGACTCCCACCAGCATGAGGACCCTCAGCGCGATCCTGCGGTGCAGGTTCCATTCTTCAATGGCTGATGCCATCACAAGCCCACTGAGGAAGAGGAAGTTGGTGTCAACAAAGTACTGCTGGCAGACCTTGCTGGAGGGCAGAATCCCGAGCAGGGGGAACAGACAGACAGGGAGCATGGCAGTGACGGCCAGTGGCAGGGTCTCCGTGCACCAGAACACGGCCATCAGCAGCACGACGTACAGGCACTTTCCTTCCTGAAAGAGAGGAGGAGGAGCACATCACCACTTTTCTAATCCACATGCTAAACAGCACCTGATGCTGGAGAGATATTGTCACGTTCGTAGACCCCTCCTCTTAAGGACGCTCCAGCCCTTCCTTGTTTTCCACTCATGTCCCGCAACTGCTCCCTGTTCCAACCCCCTTAAAAGCCAGGCGCTCACTTTATTTGGGGCTCTGCTCTGGTATCCTCACCAGGTGAGTCCGGGACCTGGAAGCGCCTGGTCTCGTTAAGGTTTTATTTTCTGTTCCTGTTCCTGTTCCTGTTCCCCACCGGTTCCGATCGTTCCCGTTTTAAATCGTCAGTCTTGTGTGGACCGCCCACTTTTGGACTTTTGCCTCCGTTTGGATTCCCCCTTGGACTTTCTTCTGGACTGTTTGCCACGGCCACACCTCCCCCGAACACCAGCACACCATGGACACGCCCCCTGTTTTCATTCCCGACTCCCGCAAGCTTTTTTCCCCGTGTTCTCTTCATTTTTCCCTGGATCGGGTCGTCTGCATGGGTTCCGGATAGAACTGCCTGTTACAGACATGTGACATACAGCGCGTCTTCCCTTCAAGAACCACCACTAGACGTGAAGCTTATTTTAGCTCATAAAATAAACTTTATTTTGAAATTCTGATGGTTTCTGTTTTGATCTTGGTAGTACTCTTTCATACGATATTCAAGTGCAGTTATAGCACTAAAGTGAGAGTTTCAGAAGCATTCTCAAATTCATCAATTTAGATGTTTTTAGCCGGTGTGACGTTTCTAACCATTTCCAAAGCTAAGTACTTCACCAGAAAAATCTGGCTCCCATGCTCAAGGGTAGACCATTAGTGCCTCTCCTGAGACCTACTTCCAATTACAAGTCCAGAGCCCTAATCTCTTCTTTCAATTTAAAAATCATTACTCCAGATAAATAGAGCTTTTTTGATAGATTCACACTTTTACAACAGACTCATTTAAGCATGTTTTATTTTTTAATCTAATTATTGTTTCGAGATGACAGTTGGATATACTGTGTGTTTGGCACCGCCAAGATTTCATGTGCAATCTTGTACATCTTACAAACTTTAGAGACCTTTGGTCACATAAAAAAGTATTTTTTGCATTTTTTTTGTAATGAAGTAGCCTAGTCTGTCTTTCAAATATATTCACAAAGATTGATACATCCTATAGGCACAAAAGAGAAGAAAGCTTTTAGACTATTTTGTACCTGATTTTCAAACTGTGGGGTGTGTCATTGCAAACAAGGCAAACTTTGTTACAAGACCCATTTTTGTTATACTTAAAATGTACAGTATAGGTATAATCTGAAAATCACAATTCTAAATACCAGAAAGTAATATTGCATCTCACTAACCTTTTCAAATCTGAAAACAACTCAAATGTTCCTCACATTTCAGTTGAAGGGAAATCCACACTATTATGATCCAAGATGTAAAAATTAGCAGATGTTCAGTTAAGCTGAGAAATATTACTGTACAACCTAGTGTCGAGTATTTTATAGATTTAGTTTCACAATACAACACAACACCCATAAAGGGTTGATGAGAAATGTTTGTGCTCCGGTGCATTTCCACAGCAAGCTAAAGTTACTAATACAAGTACAGAGACTTTCATAATATTGTCTTCTGAAATACATATATTTTACAATGATGTTTAAATGTTTGGACACTCATACAGACCAAGAAAATGCGCATGTTAAGTTCTGCAGCTATACAAAAATGTATGGCAAAGTATACTTTTTCAAACATCGTACAAAAAACAATTTTACCTTAATAATTTTCAGATTAATATGGCCAGTTGCTTACTTGTAAATTGTTTTTAAAAATATTAGATTTTAATGAACAAAAGACTGACTCATAGCACTGTGGCCCTGGGTTCAATTCCAGACGTGGGGATCTATCTGCATGGAGTTTGCTCTGGTTTTGTCCCACTGTCCAGAGGCATATTGGTAGTAGCATTGGCTTCTGGTAAAATCGGTATACTGTAGGTTGGGATAGGTTCTAACTCCCCCATAACCCTGAGCTGGATAAAGCAATTAGAAAATGGATGGAAGTAAAAAAAACACTAAACTAAAAAAAAACAACTGAAAAATCAAATAGAATTGAATGCCACTCAGCAACATTTAGCTTTTTTAAAATAATTTCTTCTGTTGAAAAAAAGTACAAAGTTCTGCTTAGCAGGCAAAATGCCTTTACCAATTCTGGGTCTCAGCTCTTTCTCTGACCAAATTATTATGTAATGTTATATCTTTATTTCACTCCTTTGTCTACCGTGAAACTTCAATGTAAGCCTAGTGACCAAACTATCATTTTAAATGTATATTTGTTCACAATTGCATCTGGATGGTTATGTGCGTGGATAATGTTGGAACAAAAAAATACGAGGCCTGTTCAAGCATTGCTGGCACAGATCAAAATCCAGACTGGGCCAGCCTAAATCCAAAATCTAGGATCACATGTCTCCAACATGGCCTGTAACCAGGGACTCTCTCCTTGAGGTTGTGTCAAATAGCGTCAACAAGGTGACAGATTCCTATATTGTGAATCTCTCCTCTCCTGACGAAGAGCAGGGGATATGACTAGCAATGGAGAAAACAGTGGTTTGATTTTAGAGCTGTGATACCCGTTGAAAAACACTACAGTGACTTAACTAGGCTATTATGTGTATTGTCACTAATATGTGGACCATTCGTTTTGGTAATATTCTATACTTGTCCCGATTGTAGTCCCTCCTCCTTAAGGACGCTCCGGCTCTTTCACTTCGGACCTGATTTTGTGCACCTGCCCCTTGTTCCAGCTTCCTTCCTGTCCCCCTTAAAAGCCAGGCACTCACTTTATTTGGGGCTCTGTATTGATTCCCATATCATGCAAGCCCCGGACCTGTAATCGCATGGCTCCATTATGTTTTTAAGTTTCTGTTTCTGTTTCTGTTTCACGTACCAGCAAAAAATGAGCTTTCCCCACTGCCTGAGACCGCCCTCATCTACCCTGTCTCACAGATGGACTCACTTCCTCCTGTGTACCTGTAAATGTATTTCCTTGACTGGAAGTTGTTTAGCACTGGATTTTTTACTACAGGATGTGATTGCTGCCACAAAGGCCACTCACCAATTACAAAATGGGAAGTGACGAACATAAGTTTTCATTGCGCAGATTAAGCACTTTGTCTGTCGTTTCGATGCGAAGCAGGCTGAAAAAAAGTTTTACCATTAGTTTGCAGAATAACTATAGCCAATATTTACTTCGGAAAACCACATCAAGAGGAAAAACTAAAAAACAATGGAAGGAATCTGTTTCCCACAATGATCACCCATGACGCATTTTCATAACTTTGAAAACTCTATAGCTCTTCTTGCAATCTTTTTGTTTCTGTTCTTGTTCTGCTGTTGTGAACTGTGGTTTTAAAGTTATCTAATTCTTACCAGATCAGCACTAATGGAGCTACTGAATAAACGTGCCTGCTGGCTTCCAATGTATATAAGGAAAGAAATGACTTATTGTTAAATTATTATGGAGGATAAAACAGGTCTGATTATTTTACATTAGGACAAAAGAACGGTCAGGCATCAAAGGTGGACACATCATGATTTCTTCAACCCTGCTTCTGACATAATCACAACTACAAACTGCCAGCTGTTTTGACAGCTTCCAAGTGTGAGAACAGATGCTTGTTCCACCAATGTTGGGATTTGAACACGGGCTCCAAGCGCTAACAGCGCCAATCTCTAGAACAGCACTTTCCACTTCTCATCATGGTGACTCCTCCACACCTGTTGAAGCTTTAACTGTTGTATTTTGTAAGGGAAATACAAATCCCAAACTTGTGACTAGAAACAAAATGCAAACATTCCAATGAAGCAACTTCGGAGATCAAGTTAGGCTTCAGTTACTGTATCTGATGAAGGTGGGGCAGAAGGAAAACCAACAAGTATATGGATCACCAAGACCAGGATTGGGAACCGCTGCTATAGACAATGGATAAACCCATCACACCACAAGACCAGGTGTTCTGCTGCAACAAAAGTTTACATTGTTGAGATTTCGGAGCAAGGTGACATCACTTCTGGAAGCGGCTCAGTGCACGAGTCCTCTTACGCAAGAATTCAAAATCTTTTTAAGTTTCACAATGTCTCAGAAAAGGAATAATTGTGAAACGCAGGGTCTGTGTTAATCAGTATAGCATTCCCCAAGAAAGCAGCAGCGTGAATTATAAGGTAAAATGGAAGAGAGAACACAGAACTTCTTACACTGCAGTATCTCAGGTAGAAATTACATCCACCAAGTTTGGAATTAGCCACCCAAGCATCAGCAGTTTGTGGTGTGACAAACACATCAACAGGAAAACAAGGCTGCAGCCAGTAGTGTTCCGGTTGCAGCTGGTCCTAATTAATCCCTCATTGCCCCATTTCTCTCACACACCCCTTCCTTCACTATTTAAACCCTCAGTTCACCCGGTAACATCACTCCGTATTAGGAATCTATCCACCACCTGAGCTTACAATGTCCTCGAACCTCTGGCTACCTACATACTGACCTTTCCAGCATTGGCCCTTTTGACTGTTCTTTCATCTCGCCCCTTTTTGGAATTGTTTGCCACAAGTAGGCCATCTGGATTTACACAGGAAGCCCACATTTGGCATAATTTTGCTGGGCTGTAAATAAATGAACCTACCGAGTCTGACGCACGTTTAGCCAAACCCAACCCACCTGACTACCTTCCTTACAATATGAGAAAGGAAGCACAGAAATGAATACAGCAAACCAGATAGAATTAAAAGCTAGAGTGTTCTCAAGAGAGCAAGTTTAAGACTTGCTTTGAAAAGGCTGACTGACTTGTAAAATCTGATATCAGCTGTGGGGTCCTTCAGCAAACTGTGTCTGTGGGGTTTCTTTCCAGGTCAGTTCTTTAAATCAGTATCTTATTGGCTTCAATTAGAAGACTTTGACAACTTTTCTTAGATCTTCGGGTGCTCCTGCTTTATAGAGACTTATAAACCATGTGTTACGGATGTCGGAAGGGGCAAGCCGTGGAATGGCCAGGAGAGGAGTAGAGAGCCTATGTGTAGCGGTAAAAGGGGGCAACACGGAGGTTAGCCCAGGCTCAGGGGGTCAGACAATGTCGGTATAGAAACTTATGCCCACGGATGTGGGGCGACCTGGTGCTAGGCGGGTCTCACAACATCCATACCCTCAATACCGAGCCAGGAGCAAGGCAGACACAGGAAGTAAATAGGCTACACAACAAGACACACCGGAAAGACATGAATAACCACAGGGAACTAGGAACAGGACAGAAGTGCAGCGCCCTCTAGGTGTACAGGGCGTGACACCATGCAGACACACACCGACCCAATGGGACCAGGACTGGACTGTTCTATTCAACAAGTTCGAAGCGACAGAGGAGAATGGCCTCCTGGTGTTCAGAGCTTCATTCTGGAAATAAAATGAAAGGAACCCAAAATCCTCAAAAGTCTCAAAGCATGTACAGCATAAATATTTGGGAAGTTAATTGTACACAGATATAGCCAAACCATTGAAGCCCAATAGTTTGATTTTTTTTTCTAATATACACAGTGAGCCAGTGCAAGTGAGACTGCAACAGGTGATATTCTGATATTTCAGTAAACAGCTGAGCTCTGAACGTGCTGCAACCTGTTTAGAATGCACTTGGATACACTAGCAAGCACTGGAATAGATAAAGCCTGCATTAGCATTTCTGGATGGGATTGGGAGAGATGTGAGTGGATACCAGCAATGTTTAAAGATGATAAAGAGACACTTTCACAACAACAACATAAAGACGACACCAAGATTCCCGATCTGAGTACCTGGATGGATTCCAGATCTATCAATAGGCAAACTAAGGTTGACAGAATTACAAAGCTGATAAAGAGAGTCAATCAGCATACCACAAGTCTTATCAGAGCTTAGATGTAAAAGGTTTTCTTGCCTCCATTTTTAAATGCCATCTGAGCAGTGTGACAAGGCTGATGCTGCTTGATTAATGTCAACCACAAAGCTGGGAGCCGTGGAAATGGAAACAGTGGCAAATGATCTTAAACCTCTGAAGAACCTGAGACAATTTCTATCACACACAGATCCTTGCAACCTGTAAAGAGCCAATCTGAGGCAGGTTGGGTCATGATGAAACACGCCACGTTTCCCATCAATTGACGTAGTGATCAATGATAGAAGCAGCTTGATTTGTCAGTACAAAATTGCAGTCAAGAAGCCCTTGCGGGTGATACATGAGCCCTCTTTCACTAACTGTATCAACGCTGTAATAGGAAAATTGTTTGTTTCGGGTGTGTACTGGTTTCCAAGGAAATTATTTTTTAAATTCCTCCGAAGTTTTGCAAACGCTCCGGTATGGTGGCAATGTGATCTGTCAGCCACACGCTCACCTTGAAAACATCTTTCCACAGGTCTTTACCGTCCTGTGACGTTTCACGATTTTTCGTTAATCAAGCTGAACAGGAATGCCCATCTCATGCAGGAAGGGACCCACAGAGCAGCAGTCACCTGGGTGATCTGTGGCTGTCATTCTGCACCTGCTGCCCCACTGCACAGCAGAGAAGACGGACAAATTAGACATCGCGTCACCACTGGAATTTAATGAAAGCAACACAAACGCACTAGAAACTCAGTATTACTTTCTACAGTGTGCACATTTAGCAATACGGTGCAAATTTCTTATAGCATGCTATTGTTACTTCAGCCTTTTTGTACAGTAAATTAATTCATACTGTATGTGGCTCTCTTGAACAGGACTTCCAGGTAGTTCTTTTTCTCGTCTTCATGAATAACGAATTTCTAGATTTCATTACGAAGATAATTTGTTCACCGGAGTATGAATTTTTTTATTCCATTTTATCATGTATTTTCAAATATTCTTAAAAACAGTTAATGAAAGTATTTTCTGGATGCATTTATATCCATATTCCACGAAATATTTTAATATAATAGAAAGTAATATTGAGTTTATAATGCATTACTATTAATTATAACCTACATAATCGATCAGACAATAAACTATCATTTTCTTGATTAAATCCCACTTTTTCACAATGTAGAGTAGACTAAATTTCCCCCAATATGCAGTATCACTAGTTTATATGATTTATTAATACATAATTAGTTCAAGAAATACGAACGCATTTGTAAAGTGTTACAACCCAGACTGAACCTTAACGTTTTTAAATGGAAAACTGAAACAGAGGATATGAAAAAAATATTTAAAAAGCAAAATGAGAACCTACCCTTGCTGGGAGCGCAAACATTAAAGGCAGGAGGGCTATTGGTGTAAGAATTAACATTAGCTGTCTCCGGACGCACCAGATTTTCTTCGCGAACACCAAAATCGCTTCCATGTCTAATCTGGAACTTTTTCCCGTTCTTGGCAAGTTGTTCAGAAGCGAGGCGAGTCTATGAAGGATGTTGAAGTGCGGGTTAAAGTGAGAAGTCGTCCCGCTGCCTTTTCAAGGTTTCTTAAATTTGTTTCTCTTGGGGGGGAGTGCAAGATTAACTACTTCCAAGACAGATGTGTAATAAATTAACTCCTCCACTGGACGAGTTGAACATAAGCGGGGCCAGCCCACTTGAGTGGTAACAAACTGCTGTCAGTAAGTCATATTGAAACTAGTGACCGCGTGCTGCAATGTTTTTCTGGGCGACTGCTTGTGGTTTTGAACTCGCCGCCCTCTGCTTCTGTAGGTATCTCTTCCATCTTCTTTTGCCAGCTACAGTATTTATGCATATTCATAAAGATCAAATAAAAGTAGCATAAAATCAGCGCATAAAGTTTTAAACCAAGAGCTTAACTTTGTGAAGATACAGTAAAGTGGTCAGGACACCCGTATTTTCCTGTTTTGCGCTGCACTTAAATGGACAGGGCGTTATGCACCCAAAGCATACTCAGCGTTTACCTATTCTTTAAAATGCAGCAATTTAGAAAAAGAGTAATCAAACTTTGATGTTTGGCGGTTTCCTACGACTAAAAGGGCCGGGAAAAATAAATATCCAAGTGAAAATCGTTGTATTCGGCAGTACTGTATGTATCTACTAAATTCTTATGTCCATAACAGACTGATAGGTGAATAATGTAAAATAAGCAAGTTACAAAGATACAAGTAATAGGTTTATTCCATGCTGAAAAAAAGAAGAAAGAGAACACAACGTTTCGGCCTTGGAGCCTTCTTCAGGTGTGAGCAACCTGAAGAAGGCTCCACGGCCGAAACGTTGTGTTCTCTTTCTTCTTTTTTTCAGCATGGAATAAACCTATTACTTGTTCCTTTGCAGCCTACGCATGCTGACGCAGCTACCCACCCAAGTTACAAAGATGTTACTTCATTGGTTTCATAGACACAGTCCAGCCAACTGTGCTACAAGACCTTACCTTCCCAGCGAGTGCAAATAGAGTGCACGTGTCTTATTATGGCAGGATGCTTTTAATTGTGTTAATAAAACAAATCCAGGTGCTGCCCGTTTTTGAACAAGGTAATACACAAGGATCGATAACTAGATCGATATCTATAGCAGGCGTGCGCTGTATATTGGCCAATGCTGAAGTCAGTCCTGTACAACAGGTGAAACTGATAAACGCAGATGAGTGGTAATGCTTAGTTATAACGATATCCCAACTCTCCTACCCGGTCTGTTATCATCCTACATAAAAGAGCTGTGAAAGCAGAATGCTAAAATGAAATCCTCAAGTTACAGGTTTTGTGTAACTTGAGTTTGAAAAGTGCAGATAATTGACTTGTGGCCATCCTTTTGTAATTTGCACTATGAATGTATTTATATAATGACACCAACATGGAAAGACAAAATAATTATTTTATTTATTTATTATTTAACCACCCCAACACACACGTATAAAAGCAGAAACGATCCTGCTATACTAGATTTTTGTTTTATTCGGTCTTGTTTTGTTTTTCCTGAGAACGTGCAGTGAGGAAATGCTAGAGAGAAGTGGAGTAAGTTCTCTTACACATGATAATTAGTCAGTCTGGTCTAGAGCACGTTCTGTGAAATAAAACCCCACGATTTGACAGAATACTAAACAATAATAAAAAATCAGCCCACTGCAAATTTTTTGTGCCGCTTTTTTTCACACTAATCAGAATTGTAAAAAAACCAGGGACTCATAAAGATGGTCAGATACCTTAAAAAATTAGATCCCACTCTCTGGCTGTAGACCCAGTTAAGCCCCTAGGTAGGTAGCCTTGCAACAAAATAAGGTCAAAAGCATTAAGAGGTCATAAAACTTTATTTAATAGGGGGTCACCAAGTTCTCCATGATGCATTCACCAAGGTTCCCACAGATAGAGGCCCCACAGCAATGAACTTCAGTCCCATCTCTGATAATCTGAGTAAACATACTGTACTTGTTCACATTTTTAAAAAAAAACTAGTTGGCTTAAAAAGTCAAGCTCTAAAGTCCTGGTGTTGCCACTCTCAGCTTGGACTATTCCATTGGCACAGTAAACTGCTCAAATCACAGGCACACAAGGGGTCTAAGCCCCACCAGAGTCACATGGGCTTGAGTCACCAGTGTGCTTAGGTTGCCCAGTGGCAGTGCCTCCTGGGACTGGCTTTCCCACTGCCAGTTACCATGCTGCCAGGGAAAGATGCCAATTAATCCTAACTCTCCTCTGCAGCACTAAGGAGCGCAGAGTGCCCCAATTAACGAGAGGTGGGCATGTATCAGTAGAGCTTGTGAACTGTTGCCGTGGCAGCCCAAGTTGATTAACACTGGGAGATTCTAAACTCATTGTTTAGAATAGGACAATAATAGCAGCTTCCTATTTTTTTTAAAGGAAAAAAAATAATCCATCCAGAATGCATGACCCATGCTACAATACTGTTTATGAAGCTGAAAAGACGCGAGTTTGAATCGGCAGAAGAAAATCTTAGAACGGGCGAAGTTCGACTTTTAAAAATTCAGACACAAAAACCGGTTCAAGTGCGCCCTCAGCTGGTAGTCTTTTTGTAGACACTGTAGACAAGTGTATTGTCAGTATTTGAATTCTGAATTTCCCCTTCAGCTTTGATTGATGTCCAGACAGCCAACTGCAACTTAAAAAAGAAAAACTTTAAAAAAGTGCTTTCATTACTAAACACTGCCAAAGAAGCATGATAGATTATTTTAAAAACATAGGAATAATTGCTTATTAGAGAAGACCACTTGGCTTTTGTTTGTCTAGCTAACCTGGCCAACCTTTTTCTAGACTAATTCCAGAGTATATATATTTTTTAATGTAAGTTGGTGACCACAAATGTACACAGTATTCACAATGAGGCCTTAACACAGCATTTTTAAATAGTGTCTCTTGATTTAAATTCTAAACTTTTAACTTGTTTTCACAAATTATCTAGAAGATATAAATAACACATTAACAGAAAAACCTCTTTTTTTCTAGGCAGCCTTTTCAGGTTGTTTCCCATCACACATTAATTGTTTGTTTTTGCTACCTACAGTATATGTAACACTCTGCACCTGTCTATATTTAATGGCATCTGCTGTGCATTTGCCAAGTCCTGAATTTTGTTTGTATATACATCCATTACCCAGAAGTTAATTACCCTAACTGCATGTGTTTGGAGTGTGGGAGGAAACCAGAGCACCCAGAGAAAACCCATGGGAATATGGGTAGAACATGCAAACTCCACACAGATAGCACCCAAGGATTGATACAGAATTGAACCCAGGGCTGCTGTACTGTGTGCCACCATGCCATCTTTTATACGTGTATATATGTATTTGTCTTAGATTTGTTTTCTCCTTGTGCTGAATCACATTGACTCTCTAGTTGTACGGCCTTCATTTACTGTGACGAGAACAAAAAAAAATAATTAGCTCTCTTCTGGTAACAGTTAGGTCAATCTCTTGCTTGGTCTACTGTACAATTGCTTGTAGGACTAAGTGCCTTTACTGGTGATGTAACTTTATATCAAAGCTGTTTTTAAAGGACTGAGCCTTCTTCACAAGGAGCTAAGTGTAAATTGACTTTGTTATGCTGAAAGAAAAGAGCAGCATTCAAAATTCAGACAAAGATGTGGAGAGGGGTATACAATACATTACAGTTAAGCTCCCTTTGTATTTAACATTGCATGCAAAAATAAAAAAAAGATTAAGTGCATGTTAGTTTTCCTGGCATGTGTTAAGAATAATTTAGTAGCCCTGTGCCTATGGATCTGAATTTCAGCAAAAGATAAAAAACATCATTTTAATCTGTTCATTAACAGGAACCTTGGAAGGTTGTGAATAACAATGAAATGATTTGTCATCATGTTGTGTTTCACACACATTGACCTCATATTTGCAGGACTGAATGAACATTTCTATCCTCGCAATTCACAGTACTTTTCAAAGTTGCAAAGACCTTTTGAAAAATAGAATAAGAGTGTGAACAATTTGATTACTCCATCCATCGGGCCTGTGAGAAAGGGCTGCAGAATTAGCCCTCAGCACTCTTAAAGTATTATACCAACCATGTAGAAGAGGAAGAGAGGATCTGTGGTCTGTTACCCAATCAAAGACAAATTTAACAAATGTATCTGTCAGCTCATCTAACCAAACTCTTGCAGCTTGTGTTTTGAGGTCTCTATTTAACTTCGATGAAAGGGTAAAATGGGTTTTGTAACTCCAGCTTCATCCTCAACCATGGGAAATTTACAGCACAATCTACCCAATCCCTGGGCCATTAAAGCTTAGGTACTGTAGGGTCATTAATCTTGTTCAAAGTAGGGACTGAATCATACAGTATAAGAATGAGGTGCACTTGTGTGCAAAACTGTAACCAGAAGCTTTCAAAGTACCTATTACTGAACTGGTCTCTTTCATAAGAACCTAAGAAAAGTTTACAATGAGTGTAGGCCCTTCGCCCCATCAAGTCTGTTGGCTAGTTTCATCCAAATACATCTAAATACAGCTTGTCAAGTTTAGCAACATGACTGGGTAGCTTGTCTCATAGTCCCACAAGCCTTTGCGTAAAACAACAGGCCATTTTGTTGAAGCCAGCACCCTAGATACTTTCAGGAAATCTCCAGATTTAGCTAAATTTATTCACTCAGATTTGGATTGAATTTTATTACAAAAAAAGATGTAACAACTTTGTTTAAGGTCCAAATATGGAAATGAAGTACACAATGCAAAACAAGAAGATAAAGGTCATTGAAGCAGTAGGTCAGGTACAGTCTCTTCTGCTGGAGGGCTCTGTCCTGAGGTCCAGGAGACCTTCCTGTTCCACTGCTAGATGTCCAACACGCTGGCACATTTATCTCTCTTACACAGTTGGTGAACAAGCTCAACCAACAACTATCAGTCCAAGCCTGAGTTTAAACTGCCATACTATTAATGGAAAACCCTGTTACCTTGAACTTTGAACCCAGTTCCTGACCCTGTTCAGCCTGTCTCATTCCATTGATAAGGGCCCAGGGTGAGTCAGCAGACTATCTCTTCCTGTCCTTCTGGGCTCACGTGCTGATGTCCTCAGAAACATGTGGAGAAGACCATGGTTGAACCTTTAGGCTGCTTTTCAGCACTTAAAGCCAAGTCCTTTAATCAGCGAACACAAATAATGAAGACATTCGTTATACTCATTACCAAAAGAAAAAAAGTCTTTGAAACAGATTACATGGGATTCAGCCATCTGTTGTTGTAGTTTCTGTGGCTTGAAATCTTGGAGTCTTTTACTTAAGTTACTGTAAAGACTGTACAGTTCTCTCAGACTTTGGTTCATCTCAGCATTGTAACAGCTTCTGCATACGGCAATTGAGCTTGTTGATTTATTGTACTAACCTGGTTGCTTTCAGTTTTTACTATTCTAATTTATGCTTTTGTGTGCTGTGAATTTTTCATCCAACATCGTGGGTGAAGGGAACAGATCAATAGGTCAATTATAAGGACTAGTTACTTTCTGAAAATCTGACACCTTAATTTAAGTTACAGAAATACATAATTAATCTCTGTTTTCTCATCAGAATTATTTGTGTATGTATGTTATTCTCTTATAATTACTACTGATCTTAGAATTAATCTAGCTATAAATTTAGTAGAAATAATAGCTATTGTTCCTTTCATCTTTGGAGTGAATAAATTCCTCCTTGCTTATTAGTTTAGCGTATTGAACAGGGACATCGCATATCTCCCTAGCTGTACCAGAGCTAGCTAAAAAGCAAATTTACATCTGTAGTCCCTAGAGTAGGGGTATTATAACTACATTGATGCATGCGGAGGGTTACCCTGACATTTCATTATTAAAATAAATTGAATATGATCTAAAAATGAAAATGCCATTGCAGCGTCCCATGCTCTGAGAGATATAAGTGTGCTTTAATGGAAAATCACAAAATGAAAAAAATGTAATCACTTGCAGAAAAGGTGTGGTGAGGAAAAGATTATCTTCGGTACTGGGAGAAGTAAATGATGCTGAGTGTTACAGCAGTGATTCCAGCTGAGCTCCAGAGACTCACACTAAAAGAATCGTACATGTTACCAATATAAAATTCATTTCTTCACTTCCATCTGCCTTGAAGAGAGTACTGGAAGTGTACGTAGGTCAACATGTGTTTGTAGGCTCCGTTGGGCCCCTGAGCAAGGCCCCCCAGGGGCGCCGTATGAATGGCAGACCCTGAGCTCTGACCCCCAGCTTCTCTCCCTGTCTATGTGTCTCATGAAGAGCAAGTTAGGGTATATGAAAAGACAAATTCCTAATGCAAGAAATTGCATGTGGCCAAATAAAGTGATCTTATCTTTACATGATAAAATAAGACATTTAATTAAGATTTAATTAAATAAGACAATTTTGTGGTAATGTTACACAAGGCAGTTTTAAAATTGTTGCCTGGCCTCTCCAAACAATTACATCACAAAACCATCAGCTGAGGAGTAAGGAAATTTTGTGCCCATTAAAAAGGGAGAGTCTCTTGGATAATCGTAGTACAGACCTGAGGGGACCCCATTAGCTCAAAGTGACCTCCACTTTGTGTGTTTCCTGCACATGTAGAAGGTCATAGTACTGTATGTACTTCTACTAAGCTGATCAGTGTCCACTCCTATTGTCCATGTATACAATTATAGGCCAACTAATGTTAATACGTAAATATGTCTGAATTTCAAGATCAGGCGGGCGCTTTTTTTAATTAAGTATAAATAATTACCCAAATTCTCTTTGTCAGTCCAACTGCACTCTTCACCTTGTAGAGTAGACAGTAGAGAGTCTTTACGATCTCCATGGAGCAATTTGTTTTGCAGTATCGGGAAATATAAAGAAAAACACACAAATAAGCAGTACACATATACAGTAATGCACAAGAGACTGACCTGTTGAGCAGGGTTAAGACTGCATGTACTCATAAGAACGTCAACACATTTTTTTTTTAGAGTGGGGAAATCCATATCTGCGTTCGGCAGGGAGTAATTCATTAGACCAAGGTTGTAAAGGGTCCTTTAGGATGGAATGTGTTTTGCACAAGAGTTGTGACTGCCAGAAGTGGCAAAGGGAAGAAAGATCAGCACCAATGACTTTCTTACATTTTGACAATCCTCCCCAAAGAGGCCATACAGGTTAACATGCCTGTTTAAAATGTATTTGCAGCTCAATGATTTCAGAATCCCACTCAACACTTTCTTGACCAATTCCAAAGGGTCTGGTTTGAGCAACAGGTTTGTTCCGGACTTTCCTGATCTCTTTCCTCCAAGAGAGAGCTTTGCAGCAGATGTTGGTCGAAGTGTTCCAGCACTCAGCCTCGGACCAGTTTCAGTCTTGCTCCTCCTGTATTAAATGGTTTTCTACGAGGAGAAGGGTCTCTTACCAGCTCCCATTCACCCATCTTTAGTCACAGGATTGTAATTTGTGGCATCACGTTTCACAATTTTATTTGGAAGATACTTTTATCCAGAATGCCTTACAGCCGTTCCTATTATACACCTGGGTCTTTTACTGCAGAAAATGAAGGACCTTGCTCAAAGATAGCGCAGTAGGCACCTGTCTAGGATTTGAACCCAGAGCCTTCTGTAACATGCTGTACTTGTACTTTAAGATGGATCCAATGGCAGGCAGACAAACAGCTGGAGACGCGGGCGAAGAAGCAGAGAAACACAGTCGAAGGCAGAAGTAAGCAGACATGATTCTAATCCGCAGAAGCTTAAAAATCAAAGTTTTGAGCAGAATCCCCCCAAAAAACAGAGAAAAAAGGAGGAAGCAAAGTTCGAAAGCCGGAGCAAGCACAAGTAACAAACCAGGTGAAAAACACGCTAAGACTAAGCGCCTTAGCATCACCAGGGCTTAAATATCATGTACTACGTATGTTCAGGTGAAATTAATTTTTCTGTCTATTACTGGTTGTTATTGCCATGGCCTGATAGACAAATCTGAAAAATTATTCCACGCTAATGATACATACCGTACTGTCCCACAGCTGCAAACTCTTGTCTTTTACAGCAGTGGTTCTAAATGAAAATCCCAGTGGGGAGGCACAGAGAGTGCCCGCAAATCACTCCAGGGTTCTGTTTTAACTGTATGTTTAGGCATTCTTTCAAGCCAAGCTAGACGTTTCTATATTTTTAAAAAGCAAAAAAAAACACTTTTATTTTAAAACAAGATGAGTTTTGGATTTATTTAGATACGTTTAATACATGTATTCGCTCCTCTGGTTCACTAAGAGTACTGTGCTCTACGACACACTTAAACACACTGCCATCGTCATCCTCTTCCGGTGTGAATCTCAGGAAGCTCCACAACGAATAGAGCCCGCTGGCGTTGAGAACAGGAGGAGAGTTGGAAACGCCAGCATGTATTGGCTGGTCATTCTTTTGCCATTTTACAGAGATGCTATCGGGGCAGAAGTTGCTCACTGAGCAGTTCAATGTACACTCCTGTCCTGTCCCAGGCTGAGGAGGGTCACACTTGATCCACATGACTTTCGGGGCCATGCCTGACAAGACAGAAAACACTGTTATGAGGAAAATGTGTTATTTTGATACTTTTTGTGGAAGGCCGGTACCATCTTAGGTGTGACAATCATTGTTTTAATGTGCAAAAAGTGAGAAGAGAAGAAAGGAACAACTTCTGTGCTTACTTGAAGGGTAAAAACAGCAAAACAAACAGTTTAAACAGACCTTCTTTGGAAAACTGGGGGGTTTAAAGTTAATTGCTGTGAAAAAAGTTCTGTGGCCAAGTCTCAAAGCTTGTCCACACATTAAATCTCTGGTGAGTATAGGGCAAGATGGCACCTCAAGCAAGATCCTACCCTGCAGGTTGAGCTCGTAGGAGATTTCTCTGAAGCCAGGCTCAGGGAAGCTGTCGTGACGCACACAGCAGGTGTAGACAGCGCCCTCGTCTTCCTTGGTTACAGTGAGCTGACTTTGGCTCCAAACACTGTACAGCTGCCCAGAGTCTTCAAAGGGTCCAAACTGGGTGACATCCTTCACTGCCTGCCCGTCTCGGAACCACTCCAGGGTAACACTCCCAGGGTAGAACTTCTCCATCCTGCAACACAGGACGAGCGTCTTCTGCAGTTTGGGGATCGGGGGGAGGCTGGATATTTGAAAAAAGGATGGACGCACTAAGAAAATGAAAACAAAATTAATTTGGACTCACAAGGAAGACTGTAAATAACAGGGCATTATCTCACATTCACAAATCTGAAGTGAAAGCAGGAAATTTGTTTTTCTTTCTTTTCAACCCTCTCTTTGCTTTTTTTTTCCCACTGTGAATATTCTTACGTCCTCTTTCCTTGATGCTTGTGAACACCCCCCACTTTGTTTTTCTAAATTTCTATCACCTGTTATTATAGTTCTGAATAACACAAAGTACATTTGGCAAGCAGACCTATACATGTTGTACATGTTACCGATATAAAACTAGTGTTTGGCTGAAACAACAAACTTATTCTGTCAAAGCTTTTAAGCAGTATTAACACCTTCTAGCATAAACTCATCAAATATTGGAGGAATTCGGTACCTGGTCAGTACTGGGATAGGTAACATTAGTGGGAAGCTAGGTTGTAGCTGTAAGGGGTGTTTGTGCACAAGTAGGCAACACTCTTCCTTATTGGCTTAGAAGTTTCAGAAGTAATGTTTTAATGTAGTGACCTGCGGATGAGACATTAATCCAAAGTCCTGACCACTTGATCATTTAAAATCCCATGACACAAAAGGATGTTAACCCAGTGTCCTGACTAATCTCCACTCTGGGCTTGCACAATTTAACACACCAAAAGCTTCCCCTTAAAGGGGAACTGCACTCCCAATTTCTCAGACCGATTATTTAATCTCGGAAACAAAATCAATTAATTGATGTAATAGAAAAAAAAATGACAAATTTCAAATTAAGCACAAAAATGTGAACTTTGTGAAAATACTGTAAGTTGCAAACTTGTATTAATGTTCCCATGAATTGCTGCGTGATGCAGCCCTTCCTGCTCACTAGTCACTACAATGCCTTATGTAATGTGATATATGAGTAAATAAGTACAGGTCGTGCAGCAGATATTTCACTGCATAAAGTTTCCAACATGATCTGCATGCAGAGTTAACAAGTAGGTAGTATTTGTCAGCAAAACTGTCTCAAAGTCAAAAGCAATATTTCTATTGGATTGGATTAAGGTGTATTCACTAGCCTGCTTGTTTCCAATCTCATAGGGCCACATCACGTCACCAGAAGGTTTGTTGCCTCATTCTGAATCGCAGAACATGGCGTTGCGCATACCTGGAAATTTCATCTATTTTGTGATGTACAGTCAATTGGAGGTTTTACAAGATACTGTGTACATTTTTCTTCCATCTTGGTTTGAAATGCACTCATCAATGCTGCTAAAAATAGCTTTGCAGTTCCCCTTTAATTCAACTGGTGAAGCAATTTATCCCTTCTCCACCTCATCTGCCATGTAGTGGGGCTGCTGATGCACAATGGCAGCTGTACATCAGGTGGGGCTCAGTGGAAGCTAAAGTGGGTCCCCTCCTGTTTATAATGTACTTTTTGTCCATTTTGGGATTATAAATTAAAGAACTTATTATTAATTATTATAATAAATATAAAGAGTATTTAAGTTCAAAATCAAATTTATGTTACACCCTGGTCTTCACAGTAACTTTCAAATGCCTCCTGTTGCCGTGAGAACGCGATTGGGTTGGCTGTTCGTGCCACCTGCTGCCATTTAACAGGTAATTTTTGCATCAGCGCTGGATACTTAATGCTCCTCTTACAAACCAGCCTGTCTGCTACAGTACTTGTCCTGCACTCCAGCTGAAACTGTCAGAACCATCTAGTTCTGAGTCTGAGCCAGGACCTGACCAAGAGCTGGATTCCCGACTTTTTCCTGGTTGCTATACAGCTTTTGACAGCGTTATTAGCAACCTTTCTGATCTGCCTGGCTGTGCGGCACGGCCCCTGCTCTGCCAGTCTGCTCCTATTCCCAGCCCTCTGTGTCTGTCTGGTGCATTCTCCACCTCACCTGTCTGCTTGCTTTCGCCCAGAACTAGTGACTGGATTCCTCAGCCTGTCTCACAGAGGTGAACTTCTCCAGGTCTGTGCAGTGTCGTAATGGTTAAGCTATCTTATCTTTGTGTTTTATTATGTGGGTCACCTTCCGTGTCCTCACCTGTAACTTTGAGGACGGCTGTCCTGCAGATTTCTGTTCGGCCACATCGCACAATGCAACAAAACTCAGTGTTATCGTCCTCGACAGCCAGCTGAACAGGGATAGTGGAGACACAGAGCCTGTGCTGTTTGTCAAACTGGTTCTCAGCTTTATCGCTCACGTCATCACACCTGTTAAGTGGAATAGCTTCTGGAGAGCCGCCCAGACCCTCTGACTGGTCATGGTACTGATGGTGCTTCACCCTCAGCCACTGCACTTTGAAAGCATGTGATCTGAACGCAGTGATGTTGCATTTTAATTTTGCTGTCTCGTTGGCATATATAATGGCAGGCTGGATAATTTCAGAGACATTTGGAGGAACTACAAAGAAGAAAAAAATATTGGCAGTTAATTTAGTAATTAATTCATAAATCAGCTTGTCTTATCCTCTTGAAGATCAGCACAGACCACAAAAAAGCATAAGGTCATACTGGCAGGTTCCCTGAATGAATACGGAAGCTATCCGCACTTTCATGCATTTGAAAGTAGCCCGTTTCCCTTCTAATACAACCTTGGCAACTGCATTTTGATTTATTTTGGACTACATACTGTAATACTAAAGGTGAAAATTTAAAAATGGTATCTCTTGATGTAGAGCTCTCTGGGTAGACATTGGGTGAGAAGAATGTGATAAATAAATGTGATTACCTCTTATAAGAGAATAGCCTCTAGGGGTGGCTGGGCTTGGTTAAGTTAGGGTATCCTCAGTAACCTGTGTGGCAGTGCCACCTGGAACTGCCTCATATTAATACTTACCTAGTGGCACCAATGTGGGGCTCCTAGGGTACGGCATTAAATGGCTATCACAGAGCATACCTTAAAGTATGGGACCCTGATCTTTGTCCAGGAAGTCTGAAGTGTCTGTAGGTTTTCTAGGTCACAGTATTTAAGTAATTGGCAGAAAATATTAGCTCAGGCCAATTAAGCCAGTAAAAAGCTTAAATAAAACCTACTTATGGACAGAGCAGTGCTTCAGAACCTGTTAGGCCTCTCTGCTTTAGAGGAAAGTGTAGACAACCCTGGGCCATATTAAATAATGCTGCAGATTGCTTATATGGAACAAAATAAGGCTTACCTCTCTGGAAATGCCTGAAGTATATAATCACTGCTCCCAGGATTGCCAGGATGAGAAGCACACTGGTGGAGAAGGTGCCAGCTATCACTGCTGTGCTATCAGAAGGCAATCTTGGGGCTAGGCAGAGACCACATTTGTTGAAAACAAAGCCCTTCAAGCAAGGTTTCATACAGCTATTTAAACCAAGCTATTTACAACCTTTTGGCACTGGAGCAAAGCTTTCTTCAGCTCTTAATCACATTCCCATTTCTTTAATAATAGAACTAAGAGTACTCTGTGCTCCTCTGTTAGTTCACTGATTAATCCATTTATTGATTTAATCATTCTGGTCCATCATAAATTATGACCCTTTAAAGTACCCATTGACTCTCAGACTCAGTTCTTGAAGAGCCCAGTGTCTTCTGGTTTCTGTTCCAGCTGTGCTCTCGGTTGCATAATTTATCTAGTTAGGGAATTAGCAGAATAATCGTAACTGTTAATTCTGTGACACAGGCTCTGAGGTGATTTACCAATAATTGAATGAATGTCCTATAATCAAGTGTAAAAGACCTTAATAATCCTACAGTATATATTTCTGACTTACAAAGGAATCAATTGTTTAATTGACTGCTTAGGTTGGAACAATTAAACAGAAGAGACAATACCCTCCAGGTACTGAGTCCAAGACTCCTTCTTAGATAGTAACTCACAACAGCAAAGAGAAATGCAAAGTATTCTAAGGTTTGACTGCATCTGGAGAAGACGAATCTCTCACCTACAACTTTAAGTGTGGCGTTTCTTCTGTGGGGTGTGCCATAGGACTTGTGTTTGATTTGACAGACATACATGGCCCCATTTTCTTCCATACTCGCCAGCACTGTAATACGGCTGTGGACGTTATAGGTCTGGTCTCTGTTCGGAACAGGAATTCCAGTGCAGACGTCTCGTGAAACGGCAGGGAGCTCCGGAGCAAGGTCCTTCTTAACGAGCCAAGTCACTTCCATTAGCTTGGGGTAAAATCTAGTGATTTCACACAGGATTGTCTTCTCTTCACCCACGGTGATGGTGGCCAGTTCAGGAAGCACTGTTACAGAAGGCCGCACTGTTTGTTGCAAAACATTTTTTTTTTAAACGAAGAAAAAAAAACAGCATGTTTTGCGATTACACTAAAGGCTTTCATTTTCAATAAAACATAAAAATCCAAAAGACAGCATTGACTACTCATACAGTAACCTTTTTGGGAAGCCAGTCCAAAAGCCAGCCAGATTGTATTAGTTTGGACAAGTGATGAAACCCATATAGTGATTTATCCTACTAAATCCAAAGGAAAGTACAGATAAGTGTGCTTCCAAATGTAAAAACTGTTTCAAAGCCAGTGATCTCAGTAAATGAAAATAAACAATACTAGCATGCATGACTATCAATGCAGAGAAGCTGAAAACCATTACAATGCGAAAGGAAGAGAAAACAAGTCTGTACGAAAAGAGTGTGATAGCAAACAGTAACTAGCAAAAACGGCGTTGCTTAAAAGTCACTCTTGCTCATTTACATCTTGGTAAAAGTGCAAACTATATACTTTTTCGATTTTAAAACAAATGTTTTTCCTCTTCATAGATGAATCCTTATCATTTATTTTCATGCACTTGATGTAGCTCATAGCAGGTACTGTACTTTGAGGTAAACTAGATACAAAAAAGCTAAAGATTTAATTTTTAGCTAGCGGGCCTACAACCCAAACTGATCTGCCTCTCCATGAAGAGCTGAACCCAAGGGAAACAAACACTCTGAGGCAGACCAACACATATTCACTCCAGAGCAACTCCTAGCAGTTTAATTTGCTGATTTAAAGCAGCATAAGAGATTTTACCAGATCTTAACGTGCTGCTCATATAAAGAGGCCTAGAAAACCTGCAAGAATGTTGCCTGTACAGGACTGGAGTTGGGATCCCCTGCTCCAGTCTTTTTAAAGGGGAACTGCAAAGTTTTTTGTTATATTTGGGGGCTAGAAATAATTCGTATTGATGAGTAAATTTCAAACCACGATAAAAACAAATTGCACAAAGAAGCTTGTAAAACTTCCAGTTTACAGATATCCATCTTCTGTCCTCTTCATTCTTGTGGGATCACAAGGAAGCCACAAGATTCTTAAGCCAGCAATCCAGTGGTGCAAGGGAGGACACACCCTGGACAGGAAACCAGTCCATCACAAGATACTCAGAGTTCCAATTGGGAAAGCATGAAATATTAAAGTAGAAAAATCTAATAAAAATAAACGGCTAAAACAGTAATGCACTCATGCAAAGCACATATCCCTTGATCTTCGCAAACATACACAGCTTCAGATTGATAATCAGTGTCTTCTCATTCTCATTCCACTGAGGCTTCCTAATGGAACTAATTATTGGGTTAATTTATCAACTTTTCCCAACGGTTTAGCTGCTGGGTATGTAGAGACCTAGTGCGATCTTAATGTACAGACACACACGCCTCGGTACAGGTTTTAGAGAGATCAGGTGCGTGGACCCATTGACTAAAAAGCACCAAAACAAAACAAACCAAGAAGACCCAGGAGTTTGCAAAACCTGGGTTTACGTTTTATTTCGTTTTTTTTAATGTGACCTTTTGAACAAGGCGAATGCAATTCAGAATGAGGCGGAAATGATTCTTCTAACAATTAAAAATCAACGTTTTTTTCTTTAGTCTTTACCTGATACATCCAGCTGAATGTTTCCATAACCGACCTCAGGCGTGATCATGACAGTACAGGTGTACGGCCCCCCGTCCGCGAGTGTCACATTTGGCAAACGCAACGAGGCGTCACCCTGTACCAGTCTGTGCAGAGCGACGCCCGAGCCAGGGCGGCCGTGAGCTTCTCTGCTCCCATCGAAAGAGTACACCGCCCGGCTTCTCCCGTCTCCCGCCATGACCTTCCACTCCACGGCGATGGCGCTTAGCTGCACACGGGGAGGCTTGGAAAACGAGCAGTTTAAAAGCACCTCCTGGCCCGCAAGACAGGATACTGGCAGGGTGTCTGTCTTCACCTCCAGCGCACCTCAAACATGACATAATATGCAGCATTTAATTGCAACGTGCTGCATCATAATCATTGCTAAAGACAGAAGTTGAGAGTAAAAAGCAGCCAACATAAAACAGTTTTTCCCCCCATCCCATTTTCTAACTGGTGAGGGTCGCTGTGGTCACTAGCTGAGCAGAGCAGACCAGCCTACCCCTTCCCCAGTAAAAGTCTCCAGCTCCTTTTGAGGGACTCCCGGCTGTTCTCAGGCCAGCAGAGAAATATACAGTAATCCCTCCAGCGTGGCCTGGGTCTGCCCTGGGGTCTCTTCCCAGTGGGCTGTGTGAGGTTAAACCTGCACCCCCATTCTCACCAGATGCCAGAGCCAAGTCAGCTGCCTGAGGGAACTTCAGGTTGTGTTATAGAGCTTTGCGGTCCTGGTTGGGTTACTTTTGGCAAATTGGTCTAAGGAGAGTGGCCAGACAAAGAATGATCCAGCCCCACAATGGTACAATGGAAATCTAAGAATACCCTGTCTGATTAGGGACACCCACTTTAATGTGTGTAGGCAGGGGGTCTCTGACTTTGCACTCTAAACATACTCTCGACTTCACACCACCTGAGTGGCCACTCTGGCTCCCCCCTGCTCCCCTCTCCTGTGCTATATAATAATAATAATTGCTTACACTCATATAGCACTTTACTGGACACTCCACTCAAAGCACTTTACAGGTAATGGGGATCCCCTCCACCACCACCAGTGTGTAGCCCCCACCTTGATGATGTACTCTCACCACACACCAGCTCTCAGTGGGGAGAAGAACAGAGTGATGAAGCCAGTTCAGAGATGGGGATTATTAAGAAGCCATGATTGGTAAGGGCCAAGGGGAAATTTGGCTATACCCCTACTCTTTTCAAGAGACGCCCTAGGATTTTTAATGACCACAGAGAGCCAGGACTTTGGTTTTACATCTCATCCCAAGGATGGCGCCTGTTTACAGCATAGTGTATCACTATACTGGGGCATTAGGACCCACATGGACTGCATGGTGATACTGGCCCCACTCACACCTCTTCCAGCAGCAACCTTAGTTTTTCCCAGGAGGTCTCCCATCTAGGTACAGTACCGAACAGGCTCACAGCTGCTTAGTTTCAGTGGGTTGCCAGTTGACAGTTGTAGGGTTATATGGCTGCTGGCATACAGTACCCTCGCTTTCTCACACCCGAAAAGAATTCCACATCCGAAATGTTGTGTTTCCTTTCTCCTCTTTTCAACATGAAATAAACCTTCACTTGTTCGCAGCTACCCGCCTGAACTCTAAACATTTCTGCCAGCAGCTAATGTGAAATTAGTTTTCGTGTTGTTAATTATTTGATTAAAATGTCCATAAGGCCGATGGATAGAACCTTTTTAAATTAACGTCTGAAATCAATGTCCTCTTCTAAATACTATGTATGTTGGACGTTTTGCTTTTATTTTCAGATGAATACTGGGACTATGGAATATTTTGGGACTTTCGCTTTACAAAAAACTTTAACGTGTTTTTTTTTTAATTTGGAAATTATATTTACGATAAAATAACAGTGATTACAGTACATCCGATCTGAATACCAGGATCTCTCCCGTTAAAAAAATAAAAATGCACCCATTTTTATCAGGGTTGTTATACACGAAAATGACCAAGAACAATAACATTTGCTTAGATTTGCGCATAGCTGTAATACTAGAAATTCGGGACACTTCAGTTAATTCCACCTTTAAAAGTAAAAAAAAGAGATAAAACAAATTGTATTTCAATTGTGGTGTATCCTTAGCTGTGGGCTAATAGTAATTTTAATTAAATATTTAGATTTGTGCCAAGCTAAATCCTCGCGGATGGCGAGATGCTATAAACTGGAAATGTACTACACCTGTAGGCACCTAGATTCAATTAACAATTCTAAACTTAAATTCCCCCCCCAAGCGTATTTTAGGACTGTTGACGCTATCTTTCAGCAGCTCAAACAACCCAAGTCTGTTATCAATTTGTGTATACAGGATACCCTAGTTTTAAAATACTTTTCTAAAAGAAACGTTTTTCCAAACTTAAAAAAGATCACAATGCCCTAACGTAAAACAGACGATTTTGTCTCATGCAGCTATATTGTAAAGTTAAAAGTAGTTTACTTGAAATACAGTAGTCGTCCTGTGGTAGTCTATCCCTTTAAAAGCAATGCATACGTTTGCCAAGAGAATAACCTGTATCAGGAATTGACCTTCGTACTGTACCTTACACTACAGGTGCGAAGTACTGCAAACAACCCAAGAGCACAAAAGAGCGTTAACATTTCTAAAATGAGTATCCTACAGTACCTTCACAGATCAGGCACACGCACAGGCAATGAAGAACTGGTCCTAATTCCAGCCGGGGCGCTCTCATGGTTCCCAGTACTCGGGCCAGTGTCGGTTATCCCCCAGACTGGAACTGATAACACACCCACTTCACAGCCGCGCAAGACACACCTCTTCACTACAGTCCCTTACACCAGCAGCAAACGAAGCTAACCCGCCAGACTGATACAATAAAAGGTTGTGTAAAATCCCAGGACTACTGACTACTGCACTTAGGAACAATTTCAGTGGTGTTTGATAATTGACCCGACTGTCCGGGGGGAGGCGCTATTTTCACGGTGCCACAAGAGACAATTGTATTCGATATTACAGCGACATAGGCGCCTTAACGCAGTTTTCCTACAAAGCATACCTCTAACATTTACATTGCTGGCACCGCTTTATTAGCGATATCGTAAAAATACTGTTAAAACAGTTGTTTTTTTAATTGCCAATAGCAAACATCGACTAGAAATGCATACAAAGCATAAAATAACATAATATGGTAATGTAAAGAAATAATAACACAGGAAGGTATTTAAACAAGGGGTTCGTGATAGTGCAGAATTGTACTCAAACCGTGTTCTTTGATTTGAGTAAGATTTATTTGAGTAATGATTTTCTTGTTTGCAGCTGCCGATATGTACACGTACAGAACGTACTGAAATGCAAAACTAGAAGCCTGTAAGTGGACCGGTGGAACTAACGTTTCTGGATCAATCGAAACGCAGCACTTGGTCCACATGTATTCTCGCAAGCGTGTAAATACACCACAGGCACGGGTTCAAGCCTATCGTGTTTGGACATCTTGCTGAACGGATGGGATTTGAACCTATGTGCACGCAGTCGCCGTGTTAAGGACTCTACCCAGTACGCCACCGGACTTCAGCACCGCCTACCTGCGGCGAAGAGTCTTGTTCCTCCGCAAGGGACTGGCTTAGCACTTCTTCAGTCGAATTCGCTGCCTTTTTATGTGAATTTTTGATTCCTCAACTAGGAAAATTTATAATTAGAGTTTTCGGCATCCTAAAATTTAACTTTTGGTTCTTCCTATTATTCTGAGATGTGCCGTATACAGTGACGTCTATAGTCTATACAGTCTATAGAGTCTATACTGAAAAGCGCGATAACTAGCGTTGCAAGAATTTACTATACTACCGTGTGAATCGAGAATCTTAAAGCATACAGTTTCCTCGGTGTTCAGTTTTAACACTCTCTAATATATCGTGTCTTCCACACTATATACAGCTCAGATTGCTTGGGAAAATCTTTTTTTTAAAAATAAAAATAAAATAATTTACAAATACCAGATAAAAACAACAATCCTACACACAAAAAAAACCCAACTGTTTTGTAAAATGTCCCTCGAGTCTCTGTTTAAACAATTGAGCAAGATGCTTCGCTGATAGAGGTTTAGTCTTCGCGTTCTGCATAAGCTACAGTTATAAACACGACAGGATGTGACTTGTAATTCAAGAAAACCGCATACCCAAGTTCAGCCTGAAGTAAAGCCATAAGATCTTTGTGTGTGTGGGAGAGGTGGTTGACTCCCATCCAATTTACATCACCCATTACTAGACTTAATTACGTGAGAATCATTGCTAATATTGGATTCTCAGCGTTTCTGATGCTGAGAAATTAGTTTATAGCTTTACTTCAGGTTGTAATATTTGAATTTGTACACATAAGCTATTCATTCACCATTTGAATGCCTAAACAAATCTTGTACAAAATAATACCCATATCCGGGAAACTGTTTTGATTCTGCATTCTCAACAACTTGGTTAAAAAATAGAACATTGGAAACATATAAAATTGCATTTATGTCTTTTAAAATAGGAACGTTAATAATGATTATGATAATGTGTTACCAGGGCTATTGTAAAGATAGCTGAAAATAATTATTAATTTGGCTGGGGCAGAAGAACATGTAGAAGATTTTATCAGCATTATGATCATCCTGTCCTTAGCTCTCATATAATAATCAAAGAAAATGAGTCCATCACTGATTCAACCCATATAATAGGTCTTTTTTAATCAAATCAAGCTGTGAAATCTCATATCTAATAACAAGTTTGGCTTTAAATGGTTCAGACATTCTTTACACTTTGTAACTGAACACTCAGTGTCAATTACAAGACAGGATGAAAGATTATCTTATTTTCTGTGTAGAAAAGAACCTTGTCCATGTTAATGAAAATAGGCTGACATTAAAGCTTCCGTAAAAGCCGTTTTAAAGCATTATAATTTAAAGTGTTTTTTGAAAAGCAAGGAGAATATTATTGAAGGAAAACTGAAGCTACACTTTCAAATCTTTTCACTTATATAGTGCTTTTCTGGACAGTTAATGGGGACTCCCCTCTACCAGCCCCCGCCTGGATGAAGCAAAGTCTTGTGGAAATGAAGAAACGTTCCTAGAATCTCAGGGTGCAAGTCACAGTTACACCCTGGGTTTAGGATACCAGTCAATCGCAATTCACAGGGGCGTATGGAGCCTGGATTTTATAAAGGTTGTCCCACTCAGAAACTCCTGTTTTGCAAAAAGATGCTCTCTCCGGGACAGCACGGTGGTTGGCAGTGCTGGTGCCCTGGGTTCAATTCCAGACCTGTGTCACTGTAGGTTTCCTTTCACTGTCCAGAAACATGCTGGTAGGTTAACTGGCTGCTGGGAAAATTGGCTCTGGGGTGTGTGGGTGCCCTGCAATGGACTGTCATCTACTTCAGGGTGAATCCTGCCTTGTACCCATCACGTGACTGGATAGGCTCTGAGTCCCCTGTGACCCTGTACTAGAAGTGGCCAGATGGCTGGATGTTTTCTTTGCTTAAAGCACAGATTCCATTATAAAAGCTGCATGTGTAGGAAGGAAAAATTACCTGCAATTTTCTTTACACGGTTACGCACCACTGATAGAAGGAGTTATAAACCCTATAACCCATGAAGAGAAGCTTTAGTCCTTCTCCTGCTAGGCCACTGTGTTCTCAGTGAAGCACAGAAAGGTCTGCTTGCTAATGGAAGCCAGAGAAATGCTCTTAACTAATCAAGAGCATTTAAAAAAAGTAACTGAGAAGTTTCTAAATGACAGGGGGGGGGAAAAACATCCGCAGACAATCTTCAGTGAATAAAGAATGAGGCAGTGAAGTGTGCTGAGTGTTTAATCTAAAATGGAGAACAGAAAACATTTTTTCCTTAAGAAATACACCGAAGGTCAGATTAATCCTTCACTCTCATTCTTTCATGGTCAAACTCAGGAACCTCTAACCAGCAGGTTTTCTAGGTAAAATCTCCAGTTTCTTCAGAACAAGAAAAGATTTCAACTTATCCAGTTACATAAATATGCTCAATTCTGAAAATAAGAACTCAGATGGAAATAAACCAGAACCTTCCTGGCCCTCCAGTACTTTGCACCCTGCTAAGGCTTAATTTACATAGTAACCACATAACATAGTTCTTAACAGTTCTGAATAGTGCTACCACCTGATTATTTTCTATTATAAATCTTCATAACTATCCACGAAAGCTGACATAATCTCACACCGATGCACACTCTCAGCATAGTGACTGTGGTTAATTATCCTTTCTGAACAGACTTAAAGTACACACTGTCCTCTACTGGCTTTGAATAACACTTGTCTAGCGTCTTAATCCCGAGCTTAACTTTAGTTCCCAGTCTGTCACCCCATACTTTACCACATGAAATGATAGGTTTGTTCCTGGATTGAAAGACTAAGTCTACATGCGGGCAAAGCAGTGGCACTGTGGCTAAGGATCTGCGTCTGTGGCTGGAAGGTTTCTGGTTTGTATCCTGTGGCTGGCAGAGGAATCCTACTCCATTGGGCCCCTGAGCAAGGCCCTTAACTCCAACTGCTGCAGGGATGCTGTATAAATGGCCAACCCTGCACTCTGGCTTCTCTCCCTGCCTGTATGCCTCATGGAGAGCAAGCTGGGGTATGTGAAAAGACAAATTCCTAATACAAGAAATTGTATATGGCCAATAAAGTGATTTTAATAGGTTTTGCCCTGTTTATGGAATTCTCTAACATTTACAATGAGGATAGCTGAATGTGCCTCAGATGTAAAGTTGTATGTTTTTAATTAAGCTTCTTAGTGTATTTCTAAACTCATTCACTTGTCCCCCCATTTAATGCCCCGAAGGTACTTACATGTTTTAATATTGTTGTTGTGTAAATTTGAGTTTTCCTTGAAAGATCAAAAGAAAAAGAGGAAGGAACAGTCCTGCTACAAGTGTGGCTGGGAACATCTGATTTACACATTACTTCTGCTACTGCCACCCCATTCCCTTATAAACATCCAATTAATAACCTCCAGGCCTTCCCTAACATTTCTTAACAAATCTCTTTTTTTTTATTTCAGGTTTTACCTGGTTTCAGTGAACCACAAAGGCTAGTCCAGAGATATTCAAAACAAAACTTTCAGTACCTACCACACAATCCACAGATATTTCCTTTCATCTAAACGTGGGTCGCATACTGTATGTCAAAGGTTTATAGTCATGCTTGGGACAGAAGGTGAAAAGAGAGGCAGGGCTGTGCAGACTGAACGCTTCGGAGTGCATGGCAAACAGAGGTTAGAAAGGAAACTAGGAGTGAAACAGTGGGGTAGGAATCAGGATGTACTTAACTTGAGATATGATGACAGTCAGTGAAAATAAACTGTTAGAATATACAGCCTTTTTTAGCCAGTGGCCATAACACCCTTCCACTCACCACTGGCAGGCCACTAAAGCTCAGCATGTGTGATACCTGGTCACCTGGATGGGAGACCTCCTGGGAAAGCTAAGGTTACTGTAGGAGTCGCTCACCCTGAATTCTGGGTGGGTCCTACTGCCCCAGTATAGTGACGGGGACACTATACTGTAAAAAAAAGGCACAGCCTTTTAGATAAGATGTAAAACCAAGGTCCTGACTCTCTGTGGTCGTTAAAAATCCCAGGGTGTTTCCCCACAAAGAGTGAGGGTGTCACCCTGGTGTCCTGGCCAAATTTCCCCCTGGCCTTTACCCGTCATGTCCTCCTAAGAATCCCCATCTCTGAGCTGGCGACATCACTCTGTCCTCCTCCCCACTGATGGAGCTGGTGTGTGGTGAGAGTACTGGAGCACTATTGCTGCTGTCACATCATCTAGGTGGGGCTGCACACTGCTGGTGGTGGAGGGGAGTCCCCACTACCTGTAAAGAGCTTTGAGTGGATTGTACAGAAAAACGGTATGTAATTGTATGCTATTATTATTAGGAATCATTTTGTAAAAGTGTACAGTATATAAGCACTTGCATTTGCTTTTGAATTTCAAGAACTGGTGGTGTGAGGGTGAAGTCTGTCACTGTAAATCTTTCCGCTCTGAAGAGTGAAGAAAGCTGGCTCTGTTGAATTCCCTCCCTCACCTCTCTGAGTTGGTGTTTGGATTCTAACAATGGGCTTTAAGAAGACAGAAACAAGACCTTGGCCTTTACCAACTGCAATGGAACAAAACTGAAAGGCTATAAAACGCTTTCACTGCGCGTGGTCTCCTTTAACTGCGATAGTCAAAAAGAACTGTTACGTTTGCATTAAATAAGCCATACCAACAACTGCGTGGGCATGGTTTATGACAGGTTGTAAACATCCTCTGCTGTCACACTCATTCCTGTTTCTATTCTTTCAGCTGCCAGCTGGCGAGGTACAGGGTCAACAGCAGCAGAAAGCGAATGAGCCCAGTGAAAGACGTGAAGAGCCGGGGAACCTGGTGATGTAGCTACGTTCTGCAAAGGATACGGAGTTCTTAGACACAGCTCTTTTGACCATTTCTGCATGACATCACTTGCTGTAATTTCTTAATATACGACCTCTGAGAAGATCTACTGTCTAAACGTGACCTTGTCATTACAAAAGCACCTGTAAGCTGCTGGAGAGAAAAACAGCAGTTCTGTACAAGATGTGCCCATCTAACTTCCAAGCAAGCTTCCGAGAACAACATCTCATCAAATATAGTATTGAAAAATAGTATAGAAATACAGTATTTCTGTCCGAACTGTGACATGACATAATGTATTATATATCTAGATTTTAAAATAGTAATAGGCACACAATGGTTTCAAATACAAAAATAAATTTGGTCTTCTCTCCTAGTAAAAGAAACAGGAAATATTTGACATTTTGCTTCACATTCCCTTTGTTGAAACCATCTAGATCGAAATATAAAGAAAACTTTATAGTATTAACACTGGAAACTCAGAGATATTGACCAGGCTGCAGCTTTTAAAAACACGTTCTGTGAGCAGGAAGCAGTGGATCAAAACATTACGTTTCTTGATGCTGTGAGGAAACAAAAATCGGGTTAGGCCACTACAATTTCAGGACACTTCAAAGAACAAAAATGAGTGAAATCCAAGTGTTACCAAAGTCCATTTTTACAAAGAAATCTTTTTTTTAAATCTTTAGGAGGGCAAAACGACAACTATTAAAGAGCTAGCTGCCCATTTTTTTTTCTAACAACCCAAAAAGCGAAGCAACACAGAAAGTACATAAAATTTGTTTTTATTGTCACCAAAATCAAGTCTCCTGATCCCAAACTGTCCCACAGAGCCCCAGTGCTGATCCCGAGCTCTTCATGCCCCTGGGACCAGCGCCCCATGAGACCCTCCTTTCAGCCCACCATTGACCTTTTCCTACCGCGGAGTCTCACTTCATCCAGTTTTTTGATGACGGGAGACGACTTCTTTGAGCAAGCGGCGTAACTTTCCAGCAGCGCCCCGAAGAGCTCTTCCGTGTTGGGGTGGGTGCTCAGGAACGCCTTCTCTAACACGTACAGGTCCACCCCTTTGTCCTCCGGCAGGGCCGAGATGTAGCTCAGCCCGAAGTCGATCAGCACCAGCTCTGCGTTGCCGCCGTCGGCGTCCCCCCTCAGAAGCATATTGGAGGTGGTCAGGTCCCCATGGACCACATCCTCGTCGTGCATCTTGGCCAGAATCTGCCCCATCCTCTCCACGAGAGCGTGAAGATGCTCGGGGTCTCTCCCGCAGGCCCGGGCAGAGTTGAGATGGTCCCGCACTGTGACCGCGCCCACAATCTCTTCAAGGAAGATGCAGTGGGAGGTGTAGTCGACAAAATAAACTACCGGAGTAGCGATGCCTGAATGAAAGGAAAAATAAAACAGATGCAAAGACGTCCAGTCCAGGAAACCAGCCACTCATGGGACCCAATGTTGTTGTTTTTTCTTAAAAGGCTGTCTAATAATACCTTGCATCTTTGTTTTTAAAAGCTCAAAAATGTCCATTTGGTTTTGCTACTTTAAAATGAACCTTTTTTCTGCTGGACTACACATGAGTGCGAGGAAGTTGATGAATTTTAAAAAGGAGAAATGCATCAGATGAATTGAACTCTCCAACACATTTGAGCTGGGTAATGGGATACTTCATATCTCCATTCATTCTAATAACGTTTTTTCCAGGGCGTTTTGGAAATGTGTACCCACAGCACAACATCAGAGCTGTTTATCAAAATCACTTGCTCATCTATAACGGCAAGCACGTATTTACAGAGATTTCAATGTATAATGCACTTGCAGACATTAGTGGGGTCAAATCAGTGTTCTGCCTAGACTGAACTAAATGCACCAGTTCATTACCTGAATGTCTGCAATACAGGCTTTAAAAAGGACACGTGAAATCCTGTTCCTTACAAATTGAATTATCCAAAGAGTTTGAAACAACTGAATAAAATAGTGTTATGGAAATTATTTATTTGGATCAAGATTATTAGGAGTGGGTGCTACTATTGTATCATATGGCTAAGAAATTGATTGCAATATTTATAACATAACCAAAGTAGGTTAGTCCCATGTTATGACTTTAGATGAACAGACGTGACGCTACCTGTCACATCACGTTTTTACCTTTCTCTTTTGGTGACCCAATGGGCCTCTGTACATCCGTGAAAAGTATATTTTTACAATAATGCACAGCTTTTTTTAGATTCCATGATTACAATGCTTCTGGAGGGGGTGAATTCTGGGGGCTGTTATCGCACTTGTTTAAAAACGTAATTTGCTTAATTGTGGTACCCCCTATAGTACCAGTAATAGTCACCAGGAACTATTGGGGAGCTGACCGCTCAAATGTGGTATTTCTTTAATGCTTTTACTAAACGTCCGTGGGTTTTCACCAGAAACTGTGGATCACGGTGTCAACAGCTTGTGGAAAGTAGATCGGATGATCCAGTGAGAAAAAAGAAGGTGTTTCTAGATGCTCGTTAGTACTCTCATTAACACAACAGGCCCCGGGCTGACCCGCATGTACAAGTGCACACGGGTCTGCCTCACGGCAGTGTTACACCGCTCCGTCTGCTCGCACCTGCCTTTCTGCAGCGCAGGATGGACCGCACCTCCTGGACGGTCCTGCGGTGAGTGAGCTTCTCGTC